AATAATAGGGAAAAGGTTAATTGAATTGTGAAGTAGTTTATCGGTTAATTATTTAGAACATTTAATTCTAGAATACATTAAGTCATTAGACATAATCAAAATGGATCATTTTAATCAACGATCGATAAACATTGAACATTCATTAAAATAAATAAATTGAAAATTAATTAATATTCACAATTGAGTGACCACTTGGTGGCGAGTGAGCAATGTCATGCATGTCAGGTACTTCTTAGGGATGATCGAATGCTAACGACCAAGTTGCAATGTGGCCACTAGTATAGGTGACTCGATATTGCATGCACTAAGTTGAGATAAGATGATAGTTGAAGTTAGTCAACAGGAAACCCTGAACCCAGTTCCCTCAAGATTACAGGTACACCTTGCTGACGAGTGTCAAATAGCACGAAACTTGGGTCAAGGATTTCCTGTTTACTACCTCCAACCACCATCTTATCTGAATTAATAAATATTCATGAATGTAATTACTAATTAGAAAATAAATTTTCAAATCCTCGTTTATTAGAATTTGAATTTGAATATGAGATTCATTATGATAAATTATTTACTGCCTGAAGTTTGTGCTGATGATGTTGTTCAGAAAAACAATGAAAGCTCCACAATCAATCCATCCAGCTTAAAGAATTAAACTCCACCTAGATATTTACTGACATGAAGTAATGTGAATTATTTATTTAACAGAGTAGTTCTTGTTAAGAACAGAGAGTGATTTCTGTGTTTTTGTTTTCTAAAAGAATTACTTTTTTATAGATAACTAATGCATAATTTCAGGGCTTTTTGGGGATATTATAGTAATTTCAATGGTTGAGATCATGAGTCAGTTTTCCATGGTGGGCTAGCTTCAACTGACACATGATCTCAACCATTGAAATAATGCATAATTATTTATATCTTTAACATACATGAAAAATATAAAGAATACATTGTTTGTTGAACTTTATAATTTATATCATCCACTGATCTTAATTAGACAAATATTTCAGGTATAAAACACATAACATCAGTGAATATGAATGACTATCACGCAATATACCGAACTGATCAAATTTAGATGTGTAAATCACTAGATGCTGAATCCGTGAACTAAAAGTTAAGTATCAGTTTAGGGGTTGTGGAGATTGCTAAGTTTTTGATTGAGATCATGAATCGACTGATGTTAGGCCACCATTGGAAACCTGGAAGCACTGGACGACCGTTTCATCCTATCGTGAGACTCCTCAGCAGTGCGTATCCACGATCCCTCTCGCGGGGTTCGAACCAAGGGCCTTCAGTCTCGTGAGCGAACGCTTAACCTACTGGGCCACTGAGCCGGTATCCGTTGATGTTAATGTCTAACCTCAACCAATCTACGAAGTTGTGCGACAATCTTCCATTGTACTGAGGTACATACCTCCTCCACTGGCCGCGGCTTCTCACTAGAACTCTGAGAATTCCCTCACGAAGCTAGTCACTAGCGAGAACATGGTAATTATCAGTATAGGGTTGTGGAGGTTATTACATCTGAGATTTACATTGTCTTGTGGATTGTTGAAAACCAGAAAAGATTGGTTGTTTGTTTCGTTCTGTTCAAGAATTCCATAAACAAATTTGACTTTGCGTTAGACAATCTCTATAATCTTTTGTTTTATTAACTTTTTTCCAGTTTTGTCCCGGTATTTTAAACCATAAGTTGTAAAAATACCAGTGACTGATCATAAAGATACTCTTAGTTTGATATGTGGTAAAAGTTATTTATATTATCCTTTAAATTTTTATGTATAGAGACTGGTAATTATCCCTTCTTAAAGAAAATAGTAAATTGTTGATTTTTGCCGATAATGGTTGATACTTTTATGTGAATGAATTTAAAATTATTATCATTGAATGTTTAAGGAGATTGCTGAATTTCTTAGTTTGATCATAATTATGCAACTAATAAAAATGGAGAAGCACTGGACAGCAGTTTTGTAATAGTGCTCATTCGAAAGCTTATTTGGGGTAGTAACCAAGACTTTTAGATAACTCATCTAGTGCCTAACTCTTAAACCACTGAGCATGCGTCCAACGGTTTAACTTCAATTTATGATATCACACAATTGTCCTCCAATGTAACTAGCGGATAGATGTCTCATATTTAACGTAGCTGAACTGCACTGGGCTTCTCATAAGGATTAGAAGAAATTCCTTGTGAAGCTAAGTATGTGCAGTGTTTGGGAGTTAAACGCGAAAACTATCCAGTGCTTTCTAGTTTTCAGCAGCTATTAATTAGTTCGTGAAGTAAACTATGAAGTAAGGACGATGTTTTTTAAAACTTATTCACCCTAACATTTTACTGTAGTAACGAATGTTTGAGTACCTAAATTTGTAAGAAATACATGATTGATAGTTAATTTTGTAAACATTTAGATAATTTCTAAGTAAACTCGAAGAGTCCAAATTTAATTCCGTTTCACATTATGGGTAAACACTACTTAGAGATAACAAACTAGGGAAATGTTAGGTCTTTTTTAAACATATCTCTAGCCTGTATTTCCACTCTGTACAGATTATCACATAGATATTCATATTTTTAACACTGTTGCATTGACTTTTTAAAATATTTCACTAAGCTATTCCTTAACTCTATTTATTATATAAATTTACGCCATTCGAGTATATGGTTCTCTCAACTATTTTAGCCAATTGTATAGTTCTAGCTATGGAAATGCATTTACCATCTAATGATAAAACAGCCTTGTCAGAAAAACTGGTAAGTATCTTTTGTAGCAATTTATTTTTATTTATTAATGTATGTTTATTGTTACACTGTTCTAGATATCATTGATCGTATAATTGAAATTATTAGATGGAAATGATGATTGATTAGTGATCTGGATGTGAGGAATAATAATTTGGAGGTTGGGTTGAACCAAATGACCATAAATCCTCTTGTCCAACCGTTAAAACACGAACCAAATATTGATAAAATAGATTTATTAGCACAAATAATTAGTGGAATGAGGTTATCATAGTATATCACAGAGGGCAGCGTTCCCTAATAGGTTGACACCAGAGATATCGAAAAATAGATGGTCCAGTTTCACAGTTAGATTAACTGAGGTAATGGCTGGAATCTTGGGACTGGAAGTAATCCCATATCAATAGTTTTGATTGCTGATCGATCCGATCCGTAAGAAAGAACAGAAATTCTCGTGTGATATCCAGAGAGCAATCAGTCTGACTTATTTGGAATTCAAAACATAAGCCTAAATAATCATCCAACACTTAACTAGTTGTCAAAAGACTAGGTTGGTTTCAGGCTTAGGTCTTATATATAAAGTCTCAGTAACTAAAACACAAACATACCTGTAAACTCTCAACCATTGTTGTATTTCCTGACCTTGCGGTTACTTTTTGTCGGGAAATCATTAGATTAGATTTTTCAAACTAATTTTTTCACATTTTTTTTACCTTAGGAAGATGTTTTTCCGACTGAGAAACATTTTCCACCTGTCAGCTATACCAGTTTTTAATTTCTCATACTGATTGTGAGACGTTAATCTGATGACTGTAAGAATGAATTCAGAAACAATGCAGCCTTTTGTTTGTTTCTAAATGTTTCAAGTGTTGAAGAATCTCCATGCACAGATGACTTTTTAAAAAATGGAGGTCTCTACACAGTGTTCTTTAAAGATTGTTTTCAGTTGCAGTGCTACTGAAAACCAGAAAGCACCGGACAGCTGCCTCGTCATATTATTGGACTCTTCACTTAAGATCAAACACAGAATCTTCAAGCTTCGAAGCAAACACTTAATCACTAGACCTGTCGTGTCTTCGTTCACTTGTTTAATTTCAACTGCAGTCGACTTGCGATATCGTGCTACTACCATTCAAAGCCATTAGTCACAACAATTGCAGTCCGAATTCTCCCAGTTACGACTTCTCACTAGAACTTGAGGAGCACATTGCACCAAATAGACTCAGCAATTACATACTAAGACAAAGTATCGGTCTACTGCCCCTCTGTTTTCAAAGGTATCCGAAATGATGCCAATCTTCGAAGGATATCGTTTATAAATTAGATAAATCTCAATAAAGACCCTTTGAGTAAAACAGATAATTATTTTACCCCCTTGAAACTGTTGTTCCGACTATTTAATGAAAGTAAAGGGTAGATTTAACTTTAGTATAAGTGAGCTGTCAAAACAAATGTTATTTAAAGTATAGAAATAATTTCAGGGGCCACTTAATAGGTGATTGGGTTAGTACTTACTTATCAACACTTTACTAGTTTCGGTGGTTGAGATCATGAGTCAATTGGAGCTAGACCACCATGGAAAACCTGGAAGTACCTGAAAGCTTTAATTGACTCATGATATCAACCATTGAAATTACTATAATATCCACACAAACCCATTTGATATGAATTTACTAGTTGACAAATATCATGATATGAATGACAAAAGTGTAAATTATATGAAGAAAATATATCGGACGTTTTCGCATGTGAATTATATGTTGGTTGGTAGTAACTGTTAGGAAACCCTGAATCTAAGTTTTGTGTTGTATGGAGTTTGTCAGCTGGGTGTGTCCATCATCTTGAGGGAAATCACACTCCCTGGTATCTCCCAGCTTCACAGTCAGAAAAGTTGCCGCTGAGTTATTTGAACTAAAACTGACCTTCTGTAGGACTGATTATGAGGCTAGGTGACATGGGGTTGAATTTATTAGGCATCATCAGTTCCTTCACGATTATGGTCATACCTAACTGTCGAGTGCCAAGCAGAAAGAAATTTAGGTTAGGGTTTCCTGTTGAAAACCTTTAACCTCCACCTTAAAATTCATGCTCTTGATTATTTATCAAACCATTATATATAATACTGTTTGTTGTGTTTGTTTTCTTTTTAGGAACAAACTGAAACATATTTTTTAATTATTTTCTGTGTGGAAGCTTATTAAAAATTGTTGCATTGGGTTTTGCATTTCATCGTAAGGCTTATTTAAGAAATGTATGGAATATAATGGATTTTATTGTGGTAGTTACAGGGTAGGTTGTTGTTGTTATTTTTCCTATTTTGTATATTGTACTTTTATCAAGAATAATTTGCTTAAGTTACACACTAGAACTGTATTATTATTAATCGAGCCCAGAAACTTCGCTCTTGAGTGCAAATGCTTAACCCCTAGACCGTCAAAACATCATCTAACAGTGTTAATGTCTAACGGTAGTCGATCCAGGACATTGCGTTTTACTGACAAATATATGAGTTTAATGAAGATTTAGAACACATGTAATAAAATGACTTCATTTCATTCCTCACGATATTTGTTTGTCTTGTTTTATGGAAATTTATCAAGGAATTTAGTTGATTAAAATTTCTTGAAGTTATGCAACTATGTATCTATCACAATTTATCTGTGTAAATATTGAAAATCATGGTATAAATTTTATATTAACCATCAAACAATGTTCTGTGATTCATAAGAAATATGTTTACTAATAAGATTATTTCCATTGATCTTATCTATCAAATAAATATTAACTCGGAAGCACTGGACGGCCGTTTCGTTCTAGTATGGGACTCCTAAGAAATGAGCATCCACGATCCCGTACCCCGAGATTCGAACCCAGGACATAATAGTCGTGGATATGCACTGCTTAGGAGCCATATACTAGAACCAACGGCCGTCCAGTGCCTTCAGGTTTTCTGTGATGGTCTAGCTTCATTTAACTCATCAATCCAACCATTGAATTACTAAAATCTCTACAAAACCCCTTCTGTAAATAACGATTAGTAAACAAAATGCTAGTTTGTTTAAAGAAAAAAATGGTAATCTGCAAACGAATTGTTAGTCAAACAGTGAAAATTTACTGAGACATTGAAGATACCATTGTTATAATTAGACGAAATGCTTTTATGCTCTATATGTGAAAGAAAACTAAATTTCAGATAATACAGATTAACTAACTTTATCTTAAAACTAATCTAAGGTAATCGGTCGATTAATCCTTATTGTATTAACACAAATAGACATTTTAGTGTTAAGCTAAATTCAACAATAACTCACCATCCTTTTGGTTGGAGTTTAGTCGACTAAACCATCCAGTACAGAGAACATAAACTCCATCAAAATCATCCACCTGAGCGATAAATTTTCTCCACCATCTCAAACTCACCATTCTGAATGAAAAATAAGATAAATATATTCGATAGGAAAAAAAGGTAACCCAGCTGTTTAAGATCATTTTTCTGCAATAAGCACATCTATTAGTCAGGTTATTGGATTGTTAAAATAAAATCAGTCAGGAAATAAAAGACAACAAAAAACAATCTTGTATAGATTGATATCTGATAGAACGTAAAATAAAAATTCATCTGTTAAAATAGAAAAAACTCACTTTATCTGCATTCACATAAGCCAGCAAAAGATAATGTACATCAAGTTCTGAACAGCATTAAGTGGATGGTCTAAACTTTTAATAATAATAATAATATAATAATAATAATAATAATAATAATAATAGTGAACATTGTTCTGGAAAAATTGAATTCAATCAAAGAAGAGAACATTAAAACAATGTAAAAACTCAAAATTCAGTGAAAGATGAAGGACAATTATAGTTATGTTATAACTTGTGCCCTGTGTCCTATTAATGTATAACGTAATGAGACCGCCAATTAGAGAGTAGTGATTATCAATCGGATCAATGACGCGTAAAACCTGTACGAGCAGTCTAAAGTCCTTATCGGTTCTGCTTCCGGACTAGCCCAGCCAGTTAATTCTAGAAAACCAATCTCAGCCTCTGCGATATGAATCGTGTATTTCAAACATACTGGGTTTATATACCAACCAGACAGACCACGTTGTACCATAAAATAGGAAACAATATTTAGCCAAATGTGACTGTGAATAAGGGAGATAGTAATTGATAGACAGGGCATAACTCAAGAATGTTAGATCATGTAGTAACAGTTCATAGGTCAAAATAAAGCTGATGATAAGAGGGACACGAATATGAATAGTTTACTTATTTAACAATTATACAATAATAATATATGTATAGTATTAGTCCAGAAATAGATTCCAACAGTTACCATTCATTATTCTCATCGGGATATAACAAACTACTTTACTGTTACTGACTTCTGCATGTATTACTCGACATCTCCATTATCTGGTTCATCTTAATCTAAAAGTCTTCCCTTGTCAGAATGGCTCAATTTAATAATCAATGATTTCATGGATTAATACTATGTATTCGTTAGAGGACCTCAAAGTCGTCTTTGATATGCTAGTCACTATGCGTAAACATTCTTTTTATTCAGTTTGTAAAATTAGGATTAATGAATCAGTTAAAAATGTATTAATGAGTAACAGTCGTTTGAATTCTGGTGCACCAGAATTCAAACGATTGTTACTCATTTGTACAAAAGATGTTCAGTTCCAGTTCAACGATATCAAATACAGACAAACGGCGGTGTAGCAATGGGAAGTCTGTTAAGTCCTGTCCTAGCAGATATTTTCATGGCTAGCCTCGAAAGAACCAAACTCAAAAGAGCGATTGACGAAATGATGTATTATTCGAGGTATCCAAATATCCATTTTACTATGGAACATGAAAAATAAAAATGTATTCTTAACTTATCTGTTGAGGTACTTGTTTTTATCGTTAGTTTACCGAGAAAACTTTTCAAGTTGATTAAATAGATCTTCGATTTAAATCTGTATATAAATGTATAATACAAGTAATCAGTAATTTCATTATTCTGAACTCCTTATTGGTATTTATCAAATTTTGATTATGTAATTTTACATATTTACAATTTCTGTTCATTAATCTTCTTCAGTCTTTTAGCTTACATTCTGCCAAATTTAAATCAACCAGCTGTACGTGCATTACGTGTATTACGACCACTTAAATTAGTAACTGGTTTTGAAAGTAAGTTATTCTGTACAATTAAGCTGTTTTGAAATATTTATAGTGTAAAAACTGTATACAATATAAATGATACACAGCTAAATTAAGACACCATATAATATTCATTGATGGATTGGTATGTAATTACTGGGAATTTTTAAGCTAAAAAAGAGACATATCTTATGTAATGCTTGTTTAGTTCTTTAGTGCTGAACAAATTCTATCACTTAGATAGGAATTATGCCTTGCTAACAATGATCGATTAATATAAAACCTAAATCTAAGGTTTTCTGACCATTCTATTTAACCACCTAATATAGAAATGAGTATTTAGGTTTATCCAAAATATATCTTTCTTAAAGTTAAGTATCTTCTGTTATCGATGCTTTTATGATCTTATTTATTCATTAAAATATCCAAATGATGATTCACAGTTTACAGTCACTTTTATTTACTTTGTGGTGGATCCCAGCAAAAGAGCTTATTCAAAATATATCAATACGCAAGGTTATTATTAATGTACCAAAAGTTAACAAATTACAGTTAGAATACAAATGGTATATTAAACAACAAGATAATAACAGTTGTTATGAAATGAATGTTACTTGTAAGCTGCCCTCTGAGATAACAACCACAAATGAGTTCACTTGATTAACGAAGATTCCTCTGCACGAGATGGCACCAACAGCGTAATGAGAAAGACTGGATCCAATAGTATTATTTAATAATAATCCGGACTAAAATCCAACGTAGTGTAGGAAGGCCTAAAAGGACATTATTACACTATTATAGTCTTCAATCAAATGGCGTGGCCAATAAAGCAGAAGAACAGACGGTCGGGATAGCGTTTTATATTTTCAACCAACGCGGTAGAATATTCGTATAGAAAAACAATAGATATTGAATAAAAATGTGGTTACATATAAAGTGTGGCAAATTAGAGAAAAAATGCGGTTTTTATTTTGTCGTTACAAAAATCACTGAGTATACGTTACCATAACTTTCCTCACGACAATACTACTTATATGTCTACTTATTTATCGATTATTTTTAGGTTTACAAATTGTACTCAAATCTATCATTAGAGCTATGGCTCCATTACTTCAAATTAGTTTATTAGTATTATTTGCTATAATTATATTTGCAATAATTGGCTTGGAATTCTATTCAGGTGGATTTCATATGACATGCTTTGATTTATGTGAGTGAAACAATGATGCAGCCTTCTTTTTTTTGTTTTTTGAATAAATCATTATTACATTGCTAAAAATTATTATTAACACTATGATTTTCATTAAAAAACATATTGTGTTGGATTGTTTTCAAATGCTTGTAATCAAATGAAATAACCGGTGTAACAAAACTCTTAGTTTATTAGCATTATAAGTAGAGGTAGATTGTGGCTGGCAGTGGAATCTATGACTCGCGTAAATGCTTAAAAGCTTGTGAATTAAGGCTATATCAAGACAATCCGCACAGAATGCACATGTGCCAACATGAGACTGATCAATTGCAGTTCTAAATAACAATGGAAAGGTACAACTAAAACATCACCAAGTGAATTTATTTATTCTACCGTTTAATTTCTATGATAATAAAATAGAAAAATTCATTAGTTCTTGTTGAAGTAACAGCAAGTTCTATACACTAATAACGTGATGTGGAAGTAGATAGTTGGCCTTGAATTAGACGATTTTAATTTATTAATATTATTGAGCATTTATAGTTCTTAGAAGCAAGAAAATGAATACGAGATGATGGAGAAGATTTGTAGTTCATGTGGATGATTTTGACAGAGTTTTGTTCTCTGAGCTCAAGGAATAAAACTTCATCAAAAATGAATACATTATAGATTGTATTATTAACAAATAATTTGAAAGTTACAATCACATCATATAAGAGTATGTTGAACAATTTGTATTAGGATAGAAGGAATGTCTATACATATGGTAAAACCTTTTTTTAGTCTATAATGTACGACTTTAAAGAATAATAATAATATCAATAGTAATAATAATAACTCGTTTCGTGGTAGTGTAATCTATACTCCATATTAAGAATAAAACATAATTTTTTAACTAGGGGCTGAGCATTCGCGTGTGAGAGTAATATGTCCTGGATTCGAATCTCGCGAGGCGAGATCGTGGATGCGCACTGCTGAGGAGTTCCATATTAGGATGAAACAGCAGTCCAGTGTTTCCGGGTTTTCCATGGCGGTCTAGCTTCAATTGACTCATGATTTCAATCATTGAAATTACTAAAATCTCCACAAAACCCCTTCTGACATTATTTTTTGTCTATAGTGTACGACTTTAAAAAATAGTAATAATATTAATAATAATAATTCATTTCGTGCTAATGTAACCTATACTCCATATTAAGAATAAAACATATTTTTCAACTACTATTACCATGGGTCATCTAAGGACACATTTTTAGTGTGTTGAAAAAGCGTCATTTTCATATTACTGAGGCATAATTTTCTTCTTCTTTTTCTTCTTATCAATATATAGATTTGTTGAGATTGTAGTATTTTCACAGTTGAAATCACGAGATGAAACGGCTGTCCAGTGCATCTAGATTTTCAAAAGTAGTCTAGCTTAGATAGATTTGTGACTTCAACTGTAGACATACTTTGTTTTTTTACTGTTAATGATTATATGAACTGTAAATTTTGTTGTTTTTTCCTTCTTCTTTTTTTTTACTTTCCCATGAGTTTCATTACGTCTTAGGAAAGAGAGATTTATGTAAAGGTTTTGGTCAGATTAGTGAGACGAGAACAGGATGTTTTGATTACAAAAATAACCGATTTGTAGAATAACCACTTTGTAATGATAATTCACATACAATGACTAATAGTGTGTTTCGATTATATCTCGTAATCAGTATATATCTTGAAGAATTCTATAAAAGCGTCATGAATTGTATGTCATTATGATTTAAGTAATCCAATTAACTTCCATATAAGTCACTTATTCTAATTGTGAATAAAATTTGATCAAAGTTAAGGGACTAGATCATTAGACACACTACATTAAAAATATCAAGTCACTAAACTCATAACAAAAATTTGTGTAGGAAATCTAGATTGAAGGATCTGATCAATGCTAAAGACTAGAGGATACAAAATGAAAAAAGAAGATCTGTTATAATGTAAGTAGGTTACATAATTTTCTGTTGGAGTTGACTTCTCTGAACTTAATGGTTTAACTGTGAAACATTTATTGTCTTTCTAGGATAATATCATCAGTACAAACTTTACATAGAAATGATCTATTCAAATTTTCAAGTGTACAATCAACAACTCATTTTGTCGACTTTGATTTTGATTGGTCTTTGTTGATTCTTGTCCTATCATTGTCTGAGTATGCTTACTTTAAAAATTATCGCATAATAATTAAAAATTTAAGCAGAAGTATTAGAGATTAGTTATTACTTTAAATGTATGAAAATGATGATAAAAGCATGGGAGTGATTATAAAACATGATTATTATGTATGAAACGTTTAAAAATATTATTACCAATTAGTTACTGAGTATATGAAATTTAAAGAAACGTCAGCTCCATAATGAGATGAAGGATTATAAGGACTGGTTTTGGATGTATAGTTCAGTCATGAACCTCTAAAAAGTTAAAGTCTTTGAAGTACATGGGTATTTTTTACTTGTAATCCATTTGTACACTATTATTTAACCATGTAGATGATTTAAAAGAAATTTCTATCAGGACGTCGTTACGAAAAATGATAATATTGTCCCAGTATAAAATGGTTGATTGTTGTGAATCTTCCTTTTTAACTCTATTCAGTATAATACATGCCGGTGCATTCAGAATGCCGTTACTTTATGTTACCGATGTAACATGATTTAAAGAAGAATTACAATGAAATGTATGTAGTATTTGTAGTAAACATGCAATAGTGATACATGTATACATATGATTGGTAGTACTTGATCAATATTGGTTTTATATAGGCTGACGCTCATTAAATGCATATTTTAAATTACGTGAAATTTCTTTGCATAATGTTTTCTTAAAATAGCATATTATAGTACATAACTTATTAGTAAACCGTTAGATCATTTCTGTTTGTTCTCATTTAACATATATTCTATTTCTTTCACCACAAGAATTTTAAGTAATTTATGTTTTTCAATAGTTGAGATCACGAGTCAATTTAAGCTAGACCACCATAGCAAACCTGGAAGCACTGGACGGCTGTTTCGTCCTATTGTGGGACTCCTCAGCAATGACCATCCATGATCTTGCCTAGCGAGATTCGAACCCATTCATTTAAATGTGACAATAGTTTTAGAGAACTAAAAAGAAAATTTGATGTTAGGAATTTCCTAATGATTATTCATTTGAAAGTTGATTTCCATAACTGATAAAGAGCATTTGGCTAATTATTAGAAACTAAGAAACAGTCAATAATTGTTTCATCCAATTTTAGGACTATTCTGTTTTGTTAATTGAAGTTCAAATACTAGAATTAATTCGAAACTTTCAATTCCTGTCTAGAAATAATAATTTTAAACTATCTCACCGGAGTAGAATAGTCCATGTTTTCAGTTTAATTGATTCATGATACTGAATGACAATAATCTGGTAACTAATATGACTATTTCTCCCGACACAGTTGAAATATACTACTCATTCATCATAATAATCAAAAGTTTATTTCAATATCTTTAAATAATCTAATAAGATTAATGATCAACGAAGTATATGAGTTTTTTTTTCTGATGATGATTAACATTTCAGTGAAACATAGATTTATTCTCACTTCTTATATAAACTGTACCATTGTAATATTTTAGATAATCCAGACTACTTACCAATTTCTTTACCGAATCGACCAACATTAGCACCATGCAGTCTTTCAAATGGTTCAGCAACTAGTACAGGTTCTTTACCACATGGAGCATTTGTATGCCCACCAAATTATATATGTAAAGGTTATTGGGAAGGACCAAATTATGGCATAACTAGTTTTGATAATATTGGTTACGCTATGCTTACTGTATTTCAATGTATCACTATGGAAGGTTGGACGGAAATAATGTATTCAGTAAGTAATGATCGGTTATTTTTTGATGGATTAAAACATAAAGAATAATTTTTACTTCTTTTGGACAATTTCATATTTATAAGTACAGGTAGATCCAGTGATTTAACGGGTTTTTTAGACAGGAGTTTTGTTATAACTTTTCATATGCTTTCATTTTGGTGCAAAGTTATACATCTGTTTTTCATTGTCCAATAAAAGTCCAATATCTAACATTTTTGAACATTTTTTCGTCCAATCAGTGAGTATTGAATGCAAGAATGTCACTTACACTGGGAATTTTGTTTTAAGCATCTTCAGTGTTACGTCTTTGATCTGTATACCTACTAATATACAGAAGATAACTTGTCTCAGTCTAGATTAAGGCCTTGACTAGTTCAAACTTGAGGCTAGAATCGCTTGAGTTCGAAATGATACTAACTGCCTTGTTAGAGAGATGAAAAGCATTCTGACAGCTGACTGGTTGACAAGAGAGACAGGAAAGACGAGTCAACTGCATCACTACTTGATTTATTCCCGATTCTGATTACACTCCGATTCAGATTCGCGCAAAAGTTCTATGAATAAATAAATGACTAACGCGACCACAACGCGCAAACAATTAGGAAAATACAATCATGTCAAAAACTGGGGATTACGGTAGAAAAATAAAGTATCAAAGGTTACGTTTAAATTACAATGGCGTTGGAACAGAAAAAGGTATGGCAGTGAACCATACATCAAACGAAAGCTTATGGTTTGTAATAATAAACTAGGGAAAAAATAAATGTTAGTATTTCACAAGATTTGAATTAAATGAAATAACACCCCCAAAAATAGCTTCCGTTGTTTGTCATAGCTTCTTTGTTTCATTGTTCATATCATTCAGTTATTCACATTTATCTGTTATGATCACGTCACTGTTGCTCATTCCAGTATGCCAGATATAAAAAACAAACAAATAAAAGCAAATGCTGAAGTTTTAATTAAAATCACCAGTAAAAGTATCGTCTCTATGTGCAGTACTTAACCACTTGTCTGACGAAAAAATACCAGAGAATGCTTAATTACTCCTCACACAATGAACGCTGAGAAACACTTACATAACCTCTCCCTTCATCTTAATAGTTGTTAATTCGGATTGAATGATATACCTATACCTTCTGATTGTATCGACTGATAGTCTTTAAGTATGAGAAAGTGGGACTTATTCTATTTAACTTGAATTAATTGGTTCACATGACATATAACTTCATACAACACATTCTTTACAAAATGGCATTATATTTGATAAGCATTCATGAGAGTATTTTACCTATGTATTTCATATTATTCATGGTCGAATGTATGGATATATTTGATGAAAGTGAGTACGGTTTGACATGCAGCTAGAATTTGTCGACATTGTTAGTAGTAGAAATATTTGTTCATAGTTGATTTCAAGTATATAAATCTTAATCGACTTACACTCACTTTCAGTAATTACTTAAACATAATGTTTTACAATATAACTGTAATATCTCTCTATCAGGGTATATCCACAACCCTTTATTAATAATTGCAGGAACAAAGTAACGTACGAGTTCAGATTTTTATGGTTATGAGTTAACCAGGAGTAACTATACACTTAATAAACTGTAGACCAGTATTTTTACTTACTTGGATTTGTAAAGATTTGTACTATTTAACAGTAATTATCAAACCAAAATAACATCAGCTAGAGCCATCACGTTAGGTTTTAGTTAAATGAACACTTATTGGTTAACCATTTTATTTTACCAGATGACAATAATCATAATAACTTTGGTTGAACCATCGAATAAACACACAAGTGTATGAAGCATATAAAGCGACAAATTTTACCCATCATATGTAATAATTTTATTGTAATCTGCTGAAACTAGTCTGTAGCTGCGTCGAAATTCACATTGTGTTCTTGATTGTCAGGTTGATGATATACAAAGTTCAGTTACGTGACATATTGATTTAAAAATTAAAATCAAGGAACGCTGGATATCCGTTTATTTTATTATAAGATTTGTTAACAGTATGCAGTCTTGACATTACAGAAGATCGAACACAGGTCAGGAGGACACAAAATGATTGTACTGATAAATTTGAGTCAAGCTCAATCGATCTGTATTGCAGAGGTATCATTATCCTAAATTATTGGTACACTAATTAACCATTTTGACCTGATCGAATTAATAAAAATGCTCGTTGGATTTAAACTAAGTAGATAAAGAGTGTTTTGCTTGCAGTCAGATTATGTGGTTCTAGGTTCAGTTAGATATGTGTCACTATTTGAATTTGACGATGAAGTTACAATACAACGGTCTGTCACGTTTTACAATTTTAAGAGCATATTTCCTAGGATCTGTGGTCGTGTCATAAACTTAGTGAAAGTGATAAATTTTACACTAGGTCATTAACACTAGTCACTTCATGATACAAGGTTTACTTATGAAACACTCAATTATTAGACAAATTTACAATTACTCTTCAAGTGAATACAAACATAACTGTTTTAAATTAGTTCACACTTACAAAACAAAATGTTCATTGACAGTGTTTTCTTTTCCATAACTGTCAATCATTCAACTTACAAATCCCATTAACTACAATTGTACACATAGAAATAGATTAGAGAAAAAAAAATCTACATTTTAAAAATGATCAATACAACGAGAACTTAAATGCATAGTGATTTCTATTTCTCTTTTCTTTTTTTCTCTCTTTATTTCATGGCTCACTTCTTTTTTTCTTTATTAGACAAATGATGCATTTGGTGATCGTTTCAATTATCTATATTTTGTTCCACTTATAATACTTGGATCATTTTTTATGTTAAATCTAGTACTTGGTGTTCTAAGTGGGTAAGTTTGAGTTGTTTTAATTCGGTTCAATCATTTTGTTTTAATCATTAATGCATTTTAGGTTATATATTTAAGGGAAGTGGCAGCAACAGTAATGGAAATCGTATTATAAAATGATTATCACTTTAATGTCTCATTGAGCGAAATTATTATTATTATTATTAATTATTAATGGCTTTATTCAATATTATATTTTGGTACAATATAGAATTGTGCTGAAATCCGATTGGTTAACATTTTCAGATTATTATTTAGCTGCCTATCTATAACTTATAGTCTAAATTATAAAATAATCTGATTTATATTTACATAGAAATGTATATATAAACTTTATTGTTTGCTTTAATTTGTTTATTTTAACCTAGTTTATTATTAAGATCCCACTATTCCTGGGATTGTACTTACTTTAATTGACTGAAGCTAGAAATATGACCTTTGGTTTCCAACTCATATGTATAAAGATTAAACATTAGAAGCGAGACCAGTAGGTCCTAGATTCGATTCCTGATTATGTTGTAGATGAGCACTGCCGAGAAGTTGCATATTAAAACATAACATCTAGTCATTGCTTCCTGGTATTCACTTAGCTTAAAAATGTGAAATTTATCTAATTGTTAATTCAAAATGTACTAAACTCTGGTTAACGATTTGAACCAAGTTCTTTGCTTAAAAGTTTTGTTTCGAACTAAGTACTTGAGATTTTTGTTACTTTTGAAGTTAATTTAGATACAACAGCATTATTTCATTAGTTTAAAGTTCAAGTATACTTAATTAAAAGGTATTACACTTGAAATAAAAAAGACAGTTATTTACATTTCATAATTATCTGTAATGAAAAGATGTAATTAGTGATTATCTGATAAAATAACTTGAACTAATTACTTTAATAATATAAGCAATGATGGATAGTGGTTAGCAGTGGAATCCAGGACGTGTGTTTCGTCCTACTTGGGACTCGTCAGCTGGATGTGCCTGCATCTCAGAGTTGACGTTCACTCTGGGACTCGAACCCAGTAACATTCGCTTCAAACGCCATCGCGTTATACACTCAGCTACTGAGTCATGATAGCCACTTACTTGTCCAATGGGGTGAATTTAAATTCACGTGGTATTATTTGGCTTGTATCTTTCCATTGAGGTTTAAGACTGCAATCGATCAGTCTGTTATCGGCATATGTGCTTACTGTGCGAATGCCTCGATATTGAATTAATTCACAAGCTTTTTGTAAACAATAATGGATAGTGGCTAGCAGTGGAATCCAGGACGCGAGTTTTGTCCTATTTTGAACTAATAATAATAATACTACTGCTAATAATAATAATAATGATAATAATAAAACATTCCGTTTCTTTATATTTGAACATTTATAAAATCTCTATAGTGAATTTGCCAAAGAAAGAGAACGTGTAGAAAAACGTCGTGCATTTTTAAAATTACGTCGGCAACAACAAACTGAAAAAGAATTTAGTGGATATATGGATTGGATTCAAAAAGCTGGTAAGTATTGTGTTTTTTTTTCTTTCACACAGTATTCAATTATGTATGTTGATAACATAAGAAAATATTCGAAAAGAATAAAATTGCCTATAAAATTTTTGTAACTGATGACCCTATGAAAAAAATTATCGTTTCTTAATTGTAAATGGAAACTTGATAAGTCTTGCTTATTTGAACTCTTTATTCAGTTCCTAAGCTATTCTGGTAAATTTCAAGCTAGAACTACGCAACGACCTGAACACAAGAGAAAAGGCGCAAATTAAGCGTGAAGCGCTTTACTCCAAAGGTTCGTTTTTGTACAGAAAAACGGGTATTTATATATCATTAGCATTTGTCAAATTAACATTATACTTTGGCCAATCCGCTAAGAGACATATTATGCTACTGACCAATAGTAGCATACCACGTTAATATTCCAGAAAGCTCCCTCATGCTATGATTGACTAAAACTCTTCGGCTCCTTTAGGTCCTCTGGAGGCTCCGTTGTAGTTCTCGGAAGCCGACTCAACAAAACTAAATTCAATGTTTAAACATTTAGCTATAAGTTCCAACTGGAAGTCATTTATAATAGTAATTGAATGTATTAATTCCCTATTTATTGACATTAATAAGTTTCCTGTTCTTCATAGTTTTTTTGTTCACTGATTTTCCACTGTCATTACAAATAAAATCATCTGTGCTTACTTTGAATAAAAGTCCTGTTCATTATATCATTTTACTATCTGTTAACTTTCTGAACTAAGGATGATTACTTGAAGTAGTGGGATCTTTTAAGAAATTCTACACATTGTATTGTACAGAAGACTTTGAATGACCAGGACTAATTTTAAAAATACTTAATAACTTTTTTACAAAGATGACATCAATCAGAGTATTATCAAATTTTCTATGAATCCTTTTTTTTAAGATATTGCATCTTTTTCACATTTGAATTAACTAGTCAACCTAAGCTAGACAACCATTGAAAATCTGGAAGCACTCGATGGCCAGCAGTGCGCACTCTCGATCCCGCCTAGAGATATTCGAACCCAGGACCTTCCGAGTGCTTAACCACTAAGCCCCTGAGCTTGCATTCAACTGTGTAATTGCCTAACGTCAAACAATCCACGAAATTGCGCGACCATCTTCCAGTGCTTCCAGGTTTTCAATGGTGGTCCCAATCAAAAAATACATATTGATCTGTTGAGTTTGTCAATATTTATTACAAATGACAGTAAACGAAATCTATGGGAAATTTTTAAATGGACAATCGCCTTCTATAGTTATTTTCAATATCTTTCTGAGATAATTATACAGTTTTTCGTTGAATAAAATCTTATGTTAATAATTCCCCTTTTCCCACTTTGGCAACTACAATACATTATGAGTTAAGGTTCTCTTGATTTCTGGGATGAAAATAGTTGTGAAGCATTTGATTTATCTTCATCAATAATTAGTATTTCTGTGCTGATCACCTTTTGTTACTACATATGATTGGTAAAAAACATAAAAAGGTCTTGGGGGTATTTTACTTTACATGGAGAATGTGAATATCGGCCATATAAAAAAGTTATGCAATACATACAAGATCAAATATATTGTTGATGTTTTCCAATTATTTGGTATTGAATTAAGTATAAAAATGTAAACGTTTTAGTAACTTTTGAATGATATTTTGATCAAATGTGTTTTATAATATATACATAGGTTAAATCAACAATCGTCAATTTATTCACCTTGTCTCCTTACAAAATAATTTGCTGGAATGGAGATATACTTCTCCTAATAATTTGCAGGACTCTGATTAAATGACAAACTGTTCATTTGAAAGAATAATCGAAATACTATTTTCTATTAGTTATTTGAAACAAATAGACTACACAACTAATATAAACAATTAACCATTTCGATAGCTATTCTCATAGTTAAATTATGTAGTGGGAAGGTAATTTTTATGTTGTAAGGATTAAGTTTGCAACAAAAGCTATCAAAAGGCATATTTAATTCATCAAGCATATTATTCAGGCTGATTCTTTTTTTGTCAGAAAGGGTTTGTGGAGACTTTAGAAATTTCACAGATTGAATCGTGGATGGGGTAGTGGATGAGCACTGCTGAGGAGTCCCCTACTGGGACGAAACGGCCGTACAGTGCTTCCAGGATTTCCATGGTGGTCTAGCTTCAATCGACTAATGATTTCAATCTGTGAAATTTCTAAAATTTCCACAAACCCCTTCTGATAATAATCATCTACTCACTAGTGACTGAATTCAAGAGATAATCCTGGAGTTGTAATGAGAAATCGTTAATAGTGGAGTTCAACCAGGTCTGTTGTGAGATATCAGCTCACTGAAGACAATGGTGGACGGTGGCGCAACTTCGTGGATTGGTTGAAGTTAGACATTAACACCGTTGGATGCCGACCGGCTCAGTGGTCTAGTTGGTTAAGCACCTGGTGCGAGACTGATAGATCCTGGGTTCGAATCTCGCGGGGTGCGGGATCGTGGGTGCGCGCTGCTGAGGGTTCCATACTAGGATGAAATGGCCGTCCAATGCTTCCAGATTCTCCATGGTGGTCTAGCTTCAATTGACTCATGATTTCAATCAGTGAGATTCTTTTTTGTTTAAAATTTCAGGAAAACATTAATATATATTATGTAAAACATTGGTCTTGATAAATTTAGTAATGAATCTCTCGATTTTATCATGAATATTGTTGTGTTCTTATGTTTCATATATACACAAACCAAGATCGTAAAATCCTCATTTTACAAAATGTATAGTGCATAAAATCAAGCTTATCTCTTTCGAATTATTTCAAATTTGTGGTAAAACATTTCTTTTTACCTTCATCTCTATTATGTAAAGCATCCGTGTGAATCTTCGAATTTTGTTCTCTTCAGCTATTTTATCATCTCATTTTCTGTTTAAACAATGTGTGCAATAAAATAATTTCACAGGTTCAGTTTACAAGTAGTCATTCAGACAGTGAATCAGTAAACACAAATTCCTGAATATTTATTCAAGTTTGGTAAGCATCGTAATTTGCAAATAAGGGTGGATGAACATATACCAAAATGGTTGCAGAAACAAATGGATTCAAATGGTCGAATAAAATCACAGAATACATAGACATTGTCCTCCATTGAGAAACATTTGATGGAAATGGGTCATAAGGTTGACGTCAAATCAGCATTTGTATTGTTATCCAAAAGCCTTCAAGGACGTATACTAAGGTTTATTAAAGGCTATGCTATACGGAAATTGAAACCCCCTTTATGCGTTCAAAAACAATTTGTCCTTACACACTTAACCTACCCTGGTAATACTGATTTATTATCCAGAGTGGTAATCACTTTAATATTTTTCCTTTGTTGTTATGACTTACCCTTAACCTGTCTAGTTGACCTTTTAATTTTTCATATATAAATGTTCTTAACAAGTATATGTGTGATCAGATTGTTCGGAATGTATTGCGCAAATATATATCACATAATTCTGATAAACTTCATCTTCTCATTGCATTGTCGAAATTTATCAAAGGGACTAATTGTTTTAAGAACTAATTCTATTTCACTTAAAGTTAAAAATTGTCTCATTGAAGTTTTATTTATAAGATTTTAACAAATTAAATTTGATCTAAGAAGTTATGATTAAGTTTCATTGTCAAGTTTTCATTTTATTAACCTATGAATGACCTAGAAAAAGCTTTTATCTTCCAAATATTCATCTTGAATATTGAAAGAGAAGAATAATTATTCTGATCTCCAGTTTGTTTATTTTTTTTGTTTTGTATTTTGATATTCATTTAAATTTGAACTCATGTCAACAAGTTAATCTCATGAGTAAATTTTAACTCAGAAGGGGTTTTGTGTTGATTGTAGTAGTATCAACAGTTGAGATCATGACTTTAATATATCATTATATTTTATTTATAACATACTAGTGATAGTTTTATACAGTAATAACAATTTTTGATGGAGTTTTGTTCTGTGAGCTGGATGGTTTAGTCATGAAGCTCTCATCGTTCTTCTGAATGACATTTTCAGCACAAACTCCAAGTGTTGATCAACAAAAAGCAATCAACATAGAGTTCTACAGGACAAGCTGTGAACCAAATGTGGAGAAATTCAAGCACTTCACTTCTACCTGAAGTTAGTGCTGATGATATTGTTCAGAAGAATGATGGAAGCTCCACAACTAAACCATTCAGTTCAATGAACGAAACTACATCAAAATCATCCACCTGAGCTACAAATCTTCTTCACTATCTCACTATCAATTTTGGTACAATCAAAGTATTCTAAAGATAAATTGTTTAATATTACATTTATTATTGTAATTATTCAAAATATATTTTAAAAAATATTCTTAACAGTCAATATCAGTTACTTATTAGTAGTCGATTCATTTAGTAAAACTATTTTCTCAGTTGTTAAGTTAAAATTATTTGAGTTCTTATGTAAATTGTCTCTTGTTTAATTAAAATTGTTATATCTGGAACCTATAGTTTTCTTGCTATATCACGTACAACTTGAGCACTTGAATTCTAGACCCCTCAAGTCACAAGTTAGAAGACAGAAGACGAATAGGAAGGAATCTTATTCCAAAAAAAAACAGTTTTGAATATGATACAGAACACTCAGGTATTTATAGCTTTTAGTAAAAATGAAATCATCATTATAGTCATCCAATCCACATACAATGGGTTTCAGCATTTGTCCAATCTGGAATCTACACGTCAAGATTATCGAATGTTTTTCAAAAGATGATTGGTTAGAATGACTTCAGCACTTTCAGAGTTTCTTAGACCTTCATTGAGTTTACTGATGGCCGTCCTGCAAAAGGATAGACAAAAGGAAAATGTTCCGAAAAAAATTTAGTATTTCTTAGTATTCATTTTATGATACCACACAAGTAAATACAATTAGTATTTATCATTATTCAGTTTAAACAAATCCGAGACAGGTAACTTAACTACGATGTTTGCATAGTTGGTAAATAAGCAACACAAACATTTGAACAGATCCTTTATCTATCATAATAACAAACTATCTTTTTTTTCTCTTTATGTAGAAGAGGTAATTTTGGCTGAAGATACTACTACAGCTGATGAACGGATGCGTATTATATCAGGTAAATATTATGAAATATGAACTAAGACTGTAATAATTTCACGGTTAAAGTGTTTCATACATACACTATAATTTAGTTGAATAAATTCTGTCATTTGTTTTAGTCATAGTTCAATAGTCGGAGAAATTTTGTGAATACTCTGGTTCATAACTCTGGTTTTATTATATACTAGACACGTCGAAATAAAATTACGAATAATAATCTATAACTTACTTATTTATGCCTGTACCACTCGTGGAGAAGCATAGGTTGCTCACTACGATTCTCCATCGAACTATGTCCTAGGTAATCTTTTCCAGTTGTTTTCAGTTGTAATTCATTCTTATAATGTCTGTTTCTGACTCTCGGCTCAGTATGTCCTTTGGTCTTCCTCTTTACACTTAACTTTCAGGATTTCAAGTTAGCTCTTGTCTCATGATACAGTTTGATGATTTTTGCATTGTATATACTTTCCACAGTGTTTTATAAACAAGAAATAAATAGATAAGTGACAGTAATCGACGAATAGTAAGCTTCACATAAGGCAAGAAAACTAATAGGGCAAAAAATGATTAGAGTATGAATTCATTATATTTTTTGTAGATTCTCATCAATTTCATAGAAAGATAAAAGGAAATATAATACACTATCAAAAATGTTAATTATGAATGGTCGAAATTACAATGGTTATTATGATGTTCATCATCATCAATTAACGATCAAAAATGATGATTTTATCACAATTCAATAATGTATGAATTTATGATTACGCAATCATTTACCTGAATTGATATAATTCATATGACCATGTAATAATTATTCATAGAATCAATTTATTAGTACCAACTCCGGAAAACAGATCAACTAGTCAAAATAACCAGTCCGTGAGACTAATTTATGGGCCAGCCAATCAGAAGCTTTTGAGAGATTTTAAGGTCACGGCGCCATCTTCAGTGCTTAATGCTAACGTACGATCGGTTCACAAGAAATTTTGTACAGAACGTGATAAATGAGCGGCTATAACAAATAAAACGGCGAGACTATTATTCGTGGACGAATCAATCTGGTATAAGATAACAGATCTCGGATTTTGGAGCGATTCTTTCATTCATTTAGCTAAATAGAGTTTTGGCATTATAGCTGATGTCAGTTCGTGATGGAAAACCCCATATATAATTCTTAACTTAGGCGACTGATGACAATTATCGCGAACTGGATAATAAAAGCAACAGTAACACTGGCTGCAGCCAGGTACTACAATATATACGAATGTTTGGACAGCGTACAAACTGCTACATAGGCTTGGTTGTATGCATCGTGTCGTTATCCACAAGTAGCATTTTGTGTACTCAGCAACCGGTGTGCATATAAACAATATTGAAGCTATGTGGTCGAGGTTGAAAGAGTTTTTGAGACTTTATCATGGTTCCAGAGACCGACTATTGTGTAGCCGTATGGGTGATTTCCTCTGCTGCATGCATTACGATTTTAGAATCTCTGAACCTCTTTTTAAACTTGACAAGTTTTTGAACCACGTAAAAGAAGTGTATCCACTTTATTTCCTTGGTTTTGTATAATACATTTTTACTCTATACTGATTGTCTGCTGATTGGCTAATATTTCTCAAGGTCACTTAAGATTCGTTCAAAGGTCATCCATAAATTAGAGTCTCGCCGTCAAACCTATTTGGATATCATGCATCACATACATCAATAAAGGGAAATGGAACAGGAATAACTGAAGTTTAATCTGGTAGTTGTGTTAAATCCATGCACTATTATAAATAAACTAAGCAGTTATCCAAAGTCCTATTTTCGATTATTAGTTGAAGGTTTACAGGTCGTTAACAAGCATAAACCGTAGAGAAAAGAAGAAATCGTATAATTGTCTTCTGTTTTATCATTCTACAGCAATTTTTAATGACAATATTAAGCATTTATAATTGAGTCATCAGAAAGGTTCATAATTTAATGAGATATTAAATAATGTAATAAGATCCTTGGTTGTAAAAATTATGTCATTTGAAAGTGTCATGTGTAAAAATAAAATCAACTGAAGAATCATTTAATGGCCTGGTAGTATAAAAAAGGGGGTTTGAGATTTACCATCAGTATAAACGTGTGAACCTGATAAACATTAAGCTTCAATCACTCAGATCTCTTCAAAATAATTCATTACTTTCGGGCTATGAAGTCAGAATACAATAAATCTAAAAGGATATTGTTGAGGACTTCAAAACGTGGACAAAACAGTTGTTCTCCCTTGTTTCAAATGTTTCCCTTGCTGATGTCAATTAGTGTAAACTTAAATAAAGGATTATCGTATGTCAAATAGTGATTGGATATGAGACGAATTTCATCAAACTCTAGTTGGAAGTAGTGATTATTAGATTCGTACAAGTCATGACTGAAATAGTAATTCACTCCTGATATTGACTGGGGGACTAAATTCGAAAGTGAAAATTATTTGATTCTGTTTTATTGATATAGAAATGTCATGCCAGAGACGAAATTTGTAGATCCGGGTTCCAATCCTATGTAAAGTCATCAGACCTTGAATAATGATTGCAAACTTATAGACAAAAGCTGTATAATTCTCTTTGGTTTATAATGACCCAATATTTGTATAATTCAAGTTAGCAGTGTGCTAAATTTGAAAACAAACTACACAGATATCCCTTAGATTTTAGTAAGTATAACACTTTTAATTAAATGGTATATATGTACATCAGTTGATGAATAAACAAAGCGTAGTGTTGTAGACGAAGAACTCAAATGGAGAAGACCAATTTATCACTTAATGCCAAATTACAGAATGCTTTCATAAAATGTTAAAACCATACATTAAATACATAATTTGCACGTCTTCCATCAGTTGTCCTTTACGTGCTTCCTGATTCTTTCAATTTTGTTGTTATTACAATTACTTTCGGTCCCTTTCTGTTATCTTCAATCGGATCTTCTCAATCTTCTTCTGACATTTACCTTACTTTCGATTAGTGTCACATGCTACTAATATCTGTCAACATATGTAGCATACATGGTGTGTGGGCGAGGATGATCATGGTTGGTTGTTTGTTTAGTCAAACCAGTAGGTAGTCTGACAGGTACTAGATGAGTTGTATATTCTTTTACCCTTGTTATTGTTGGATTATCATCGGTTTTTGATGTGGAAATATGTTGACCTTCTAGTCAGACTAATCACGTGTTTTTGATCTGACTTGTGTCGAAGTCCTGCAGAATAGACATTGTGAGGGAATCTAGTGTAGATATTCATCTAAGGCAAATTAACATCTATAATGTTTCGAATTATTCGAATTATAGTACGAACTAAGCGTCCCAGAAATGACGCAATTGAATCAAGAATTACGACACAAGCACAAACGAATGTATTGTATTTGGAATTCGAAATCGAGCATTCAACAAGTACAAAGGTATGATTAGTTCGTTCAAACACCACACATCTCATTCGTGTAGACGAGGAAAACCGATCGTTATAACAATACATCACAATAGTACGCTTATAGTTACAGTGATCACTAGATAAACCTAATATAAGGCAATAACACTCAAGTAATAGAAAAATATTGATGCAGTTCATTTATTCCTGTATATTATATAATTTTCCTTTACACCATCATGTCACATTGTCTTTATGAAATATGTAGATGTGTATGATAATTAGATACATATGTACAATATCTATTTTTATATTGAAGTATGTCATAAAACATAATTGCTATGCAGTGAATAAACTACTCAACATTATCAGTTGTGTAGTTTACTTTTGAAACTAAGAAACATAGCTGTTAGATTCATATCAATCTTATACTTAACCGTATAATGAATAAGTAAAGTTTATTCGGAAAAGTACCATACTAATATGTTTATAGTTACCAGTTTTAACTCTAGGTTAACGTAACTCTTCTTTCGCATACTTATTAGATCTTTCAAGTAATTATATTACTAATCGTAACACTCGTAACTGCCAATTAACCTTTAAGTATTGCTTTTGTTCAATAAAATGAGACTAAATTATAATTGTAGGTTCTTTCTTATATGAATGGTGAAGTTCATCAATTGTTTGTTAAGGATTAAATCATGATTTAGAAGTCAGTTTGAAACTACTCACTTAGATTTATCATAGATTGAGTTTGAAAATTTTATCTTCAGATTGATTTTGATCACAAACTGATATCAGCTGAAAATAAGTAATTAGTAGAAGGGATTGGAAAATTCTCTTATTGTATTTTGGCCTTCTCTGAATCAAATGAAACTGTAGTTTAGTAAAAATCCTCACTGATCACTTTACCCTTAATACTCTGAACTTGAATCTAACGGCTTACGGTTCAAGATTCACTCAACTTGTGATATTTCGCAATCTACTTATGAATCAAATGCAAAAAAAGAAGCCCATTGCTTTAGGGTTTTCCACATTTATTTCTTGAATTCGAATTAATAATAAAACTAGAAAGTTAAGCATGAACATGATCAACACGATTAAACACCTTCTTGAGTTGCTGCCCATCTCAAACTCGAACAAACTAGGGATGGGCATAGGCGAGTTGCCTCATTTTATATAAACGAATCTTGCTTAAAAACGCTAACTCAAATTATCATGAACGTGACATTCGGTGATTTTTATTATTGTACATTTTTCGTAATTAGATAACAAAAAAAGCATAAGACAATTAACGTTTGGAAAACAAATTATCGAATAAAATGTAAATGATTTAAAAGTGAATATTATTTTGATGCATATCAAATATTTCCATACTGTAAATGGCTTTTTTTATTGTAAAGACAAGTTTTTCTTTGTTCTGTATCTTCTTAGCTCGTCGAAGAGCGGCTAAACAACGACTTAAACAGACTGGTAAAGATGCTTCATTCAATGACTCGAATTTTGAGGATTCTGTATTATTTGCAGAATCTAAATGTAGGTTTAATTTGTTTTGACGTTGTCAGAATCTTTTAGACGCTTACATGCTTTATTCAAGTTTATATATATTGTCAGTAAATGAAAACTTAACTGCTGCCAGATATAAGTCTCCTAGTACAATTAAATTGGCATGACATTAAAACTATGTGTTTCCGTATACACGATAGAAAACAATATGAGACTGAAATCTGTTTAATTTTACCACGTTCAATAAACAGTTTATCGGTATAGGGTTGTGGAAATTGTTGAATTTTGATTGAAATCATAAATGGATCTATATAAAACCATTACTGAAAACCTGGAAGCACTGGACAACACTGCTGAGATATTCCATACTAAGACGAATAAACCTTCCAATGCTTCCATGTTTCCAATGGTGGTCTAACATTCATCCATTCATAACCCTAGTCAAAATAAACAATTTGTTTAGTAAACACAGTAACGTCATTATGTTGATTCACTCCAAAATCAACTACAAATTCATATTATTCTGTTGTGTTTATTATTTGTTTTGATATTTTATAAATTACAAGGGTGAAGTATTGTATGTAATAAACTAATAATTCTATTACCCAACATCTTCAAACTCTTTCTTAAGAAAAAAAAACAACAACTATCTCAATCTATAAAAACAAAAAAACATTTGATACCATTCAAGTCACCTATTCTTTTTTCTTTTGTATATCAAACGTAATTTGAGAAAAGGCTAAAACTATTTACCCTGAGATAGTGAAGAAGATTTATATCTCAGATGGATAATTTTGATGGAGTTCAAACTATTCATCTCAGAGAACAAAACTCCATCAAAAACTGTTTACCCTAGAAACAAAATAAAAAATAGTATGATTGATAATAGCTTGTTTTCAACTTTAGTTTAAAGTGTCTATCTAGTGTTTACTTATTTATTTATTTATTCTTTTCAAAGAAACAAAATTCAAGTGAATGAATTCCATTGTTTACTCGATTAATCTTATGAGCATATTCATAATTTGATGAAAGTAATGAAATATAAACTGAATTCTGTTAATAAACCTAATATTAATTTAATATTATTAGTTGAATTTAATGAGTTGATTAAAGTTAAACAAGCGTTGAAAAGATGGAAGTAATGGACGGACGTTTCGTCCTAGTATGAGACTCCTCAGCAGCACGCATGGCCGTTACTACTCACGGGATTCGAGCTCAGGACATATCGGTCTCGTGAACGAACACTTAACTTCTAGACCATTGAGTTGACATCCAATGATGTTAATGTTTAACTCCAACTAATCCACGAACTAATTATTAAAATTATTAACATCTTCATAAAACCCCGTTCTGATAATTTAATACTAGTTTTATGATTATAAATTTTTAGTTCAAATATAATTAATAATGAAAAATTGTATTTTTGTTACACAGCACATTCATCTTATGGTGATCTACTAAGACGTCGAAAAGAGAGATGTCAGGGATGTTGGAGAAGAGAAAAACGAATTCGGTAAGAGTATTTATTTATTTTTATAAACAACTATTATTATTTCAGTTGATTAAATATATAGGTGGATAATCCAACTATATTTTAAAACAATAATTAAATAAAAAAATGGATTTAAGCAAGCATAAATGTTTGGTTATGTCACCGATGGATTGAATAGCTATCTGATTCTAGTATTGAATACCCCAGAAGTGAATAATTTAAGAACCAGACATAGATCTAACCTGAGGAATCAGGGGATGTGCATCGGGATTAACATCTTTAGACCAGTTAAAAACCCGTTTACATTTCCAGAGTTGATTTGGAATAAACAGTGTCACTTTTGATGTAGTGAATGAGAACACAAGTCAGGACAATCAAATCTGCATTAACACAAAATTACAGAACATCTTGGTAAAAATTGAGAACCATACAGTAAATACTTCATTTGTAAAATATCAATCAATTGTCTCAGACTTGATTGTCCCTTCATTTCGATAGCATTCATTCTCTGTTCTCGTTCTCTTTTATTCGATCTTCTTAATTGTCCGTTGCCAATTATTTCATTTTCGATTGGTGGTACATGCTACTTATATCTGTCAACATCAGTAGCACCTAGCAGTAGGATCCAGGACACGCAACTCCTTCTCTTTTGAACTTGGCAGTCAAAAGTACCTTCATCTTCATGTCGATTTTCATACCTGGATTTAAATCAAGCATCTTTTACTTCAAAAGCCTAATACGTTGTACCTTGGAGTATTGAATCTAAACATCTATTGGATTGTACAAAGTAGATGGATTGAACGTGAAAGTTCATATTTTTTGTTGTTGATATTAAGGAGTAAATTGATCGGTGAACATCACCATTGAGATTCGAATACGTCCATCGAACTAGTCTCAAATAAAATGTAGTATGTGTCTTGGATTCCACTGCTAGCCACTATCCAACTTTATGACAACAGTATAAATATTAAAACAATCATTTAGGAAATATAATCTCTAATACTTTTCGTAGTTGTATAGTTTGTTAGATTACTTTTAGAATAGTTAACAGTCTCCCAAATAAAATGTATTATATTGACTCGATACTCAGGAAATTAGAAAAGCATACATAACTTGCATTAGTTAGTAACTGGAACATAACTATTATCTGACTGTCTAGTCTTCAGTGTTGATTGAATCCTACTACTCTAAGCTACTTAAAATTGCAGTGGATTTTAATGAACATTAATTGATTGAAGGAAATTATTTAGACGCCTTGGAGTTATTTCAATTAATCTGCACAACTTAGCTCAAAATATTATTCATGGCCTGTGATGAAAGCAATATTGAAAACCGGAATGGTTCCAAAAAAACAACTCAACGTTTCTACCAATGCTGTATATATATTGAATAGAATGCATACTTGTTCCATTAAAATCGGATTATTAGACATAGTTATTTGTTTGCTTACCTAAGTGCATATATCTGTCTGGTAAATATTCATACAAATAAGGTATAAGACAAAGTATTTTATTGTATTCAATCAGGAAAAAAAATTTCCCAGTGTTCCCAGTGTTCACTGGGAACACTGTTTAATAACTATTTCATAACAAGTTATTGTCCTATTGATAATAATCTCGTTACGTGTATCTAAAAGTTCGAATCCTGATAGGGTGCTGGACGCTTAATGTTGATGAGTCCTCAAACAAGGATAATATGTGTTCTATTCCTTCGGCATACTAACATTATTTAATCAGTTAGTTTGTAAACTACAATGAAGTATTTAATGGTCGATCTATTTACATGTATGAGAAATAAAACATTTTATCCTTGATTGATACATTAATCGTAAAAATACATTAAGTTCTTAAGTAAAGTTCTAACCAAAGAATTGATCACTCTTAAAGTATATTTGGTTATTTATTGAATTTACCACAGAATGCAATTAAATTTTTCATATTAACCAGCTATTAATTTAGTTATTTGCAACTAACCACTGGATGGGTAATTTTCATTTCTCTGAATGATTAGTATTTAAGACTAAAAAATATTTCTATGGTAAATATGTGGTCGATATTTGACCAGTAGTATAGATGTTAAGTGTTCGAGCGCGAGGTCGATATTTCCAGGGTTCGAGTCCCGCGTACGGGATTGTGGTCGCGCACTGCTGAGGAGTCCAATACTATGACGAAACGGTCATCGAGTGCTTCCAGGTTTCCTATAGTGGTCTAGTATACATCGATTCATAAATTCAACTGTTAAAATATTTCAATTTATCTAGTCGATACGTAATCTTTAACACAAAATGCCCTAATAAGTAGATTCGTGATTAACAGTAAGTAATAATTTTCTATCACGGCCAGCAAATGGAAACCAAGAAACAATAAACATCTGTTTCATTCTAATAGTAAGAATTCCCAGTAGTGCTCATTCATGACCCCACAATTCATCGAACCCAAGACCTTTAGGTCTTGTGCAGCAAGTCGCTAACCATTACACATTCAAGTCGGCATCCATTGGTATACATATCTAACTTCAAACAAATCCATCTATAATAAAAACAGTTTATTAATATAATCTAATAACTTAATAATAATTTGACTTCATCGTATAAATTTCGTAAACTGAATTGTTGTTGGTTAGTCGTAATTTGGTTAATAAATGTCTGAAGATTAACCTTCATTAAAATTTGAACCAATTGCTTTGTAGGAATTGGTCACTAAATATGAATTAGAATGATAAATATCTCAGTTATTTAAACTATATCATCTAAAATCTTTGTCTGGTAGTGTAACTAGTGCTTTAACTAAAATATGAAATTGTCTATGACTGCAAGATAAATAACAATTGAAGTTGGGAAGTATGTAGGTTGTGACAGTATGTTGTGTGCTACAGATGTTGACAAGTATAAGTAGTATGTATTATCAATCGAAAGTGAAATACCTGGCAGCAGAAGGTTAAGAAGATCAAAGAAAAGGGAATGAGAACAGAGAATGATTGCTGTGGAAACGAAGGAACAGTGAAGTCTGAGACGATTGATTGACATTTGCTAAAGGGACAGTCATGTTTGAGACAATTGATTGACATCTTGCAAATGAAGTATTTACTGTATGGTTCTCAGATTTTACTGATATGTTCTGTAATTTTGTGTTAATGTAGATTTGATTGTCCCGACTTTTGTTCTCGTTCACTACAGCAGTACTGAGTTACTAATTTAGCGACTAAGCGTTTGCGTTCTGAAACTTGAATGTTTGCAAATTTTTAGTTCTATTACAATAATCAGATATTTTATACAAATATTCGTCAAGATTAGGACGAATAGTTTGACATGAATTGTGCGCAGAGTACAGAGAAGTCATTATATGTGAAAACTATATTTGAAATAATATTAGAGAGTGAAACTTAAGTAATTCGAACGGTTCGTCCAGTATGCTTATCTGAACTTCTTCATGGTATATAGCGTTTAACAATCAAATCAGATCAAATCTACACCGTGCTAATGCAATCACATTTGGATGCTGACATGAATCAGTTGAATGCGAATCGTGAAAAGTTCACGATGTGAAAATAAATGACTGAACGAATTGTGTATGTTTGTGTGTATGTATTTGTAAGATTGAGTCACTAACCGTTAATATTAGGTATTAATGTGTTTCATATGAAGGAAAAATAAAAGTGTAAGTTGAAGGTTGAAAAACTGTTGCCGAATTATTGATGTGCATGAGAATCATCAAATGCATAATTGTATTAGAAGGGGTTTTGTGGAGATTGTATTAATTTCAACAGTTGAGATCTAGCTTCAATTGACTCATGATATCAACTGTTGAAATTACGTAATTGTATTGCTAAAAGTAACTCACATTAATTCCAGTCAAGATAACGATACATGTGAAATAAACAGGTTGAATAAAGAATGGGTCCAATTACTTATTAACAAATATTTATCAAGTAGTTACTAGCTGAATACGATCCTTTCTGTTTAGGCTGTTCTTATTCGTCCATATATACAACACTTCTGATATCAATCTTTCTTTATGAGTGGTAAAACCTTTCTGAAGTATTTTGATCCCTTCAAAATTAATCTTGTGTCTAGTTTCTAACGCATGTAACGCTATTAGATATTGTTTTCGACTGTTATAATGAATAAATAAAAATGTCCAACAATTAGTCAAATGAAGTGTATTTGGAAAAATTGTTCTATTTTTTTTAATTAACGGATACACCAAAGGTTTTATCAGCTTAAATATTCATAGATTGTGTTGTAGACAATTATCGTTTTCACTGATTGAAATCATGAGTCAATTGAAGCTAGACCACCATGGAAAACCTGGAAGCACTGGAGTTCTAGTGGAAAGCCGTTACCAGTGGAGTTCAACCTGGTCTGTTGTGAGATATCAGCTCACTGACTACAATGGTGTACGGTTGCGCAACTTCGTGGATTGGTTGAAGTTAGACATTAACACCGTTGGATGCCGACCGGCTCAGTGGTCTAGTTGGTTAAGCACCTGGTGCGAGACTGATAGATCCTGGGTTCGAATCTCGCGGGGTGCGGGATCGTGGGTTCTCACTGCTGAGGAGTCCCATACTAGGATGAAACGGCTGTCCAGTGCTTCCAGGTTTTCCATGGTGGTCTAGTTTCAATTGACTCATGATTTCAATCTGCGAAATCTCTAAAATCTCCACAAAACCCCTTCTGATAATTATCGTTTTGTTAATTGTTTTAATGATTTAGAAATTCTATGCAAGATTGTTTTTAATATACTTACAATAGAAAATTAAAGTACTGTGATTATTTACAGCCGGAAGTAATATGAAATTTAGCTGATTTATTTAAACAAGAAGATCACTTCCTTCTAATTAGACTAAATAGATTAGTATTTTAAAAAATATGAAGTTATACTGTGATAGTAATTTTAATGATCATTACCAGTGGATATTTCAAAAATATATTCAATTTTTCACTTGGTATTGTTTGGCTTGTATCTTCCCATTGAGGTTTAAGACTGCAATTGATCAGTCTGTTATTGGCATATGTGCATCCTGTGCAGATTGCCTCGATATTGCCTTAGTTCACAACTCATCAAGCTAATATATCTGAATTTTAGTCTTTATCGTCATAATGAATCTCAAACTGAGTACTAGTTGTTTTCAGCTACAGAGTATAAGTCAGTAGTCCACTAGTTATCGTTTTTATAGCTGATTGTAAGAACACATGTTCTTTTATTAATGAAAGTTGAGACTGAAATTATTGGTCTTCTTTGGGTTTGATCCTCAGTGTTAATGTTTATAATGATATGGAAGGACTTCCAGTTGATTAATTCTAAATGGAATGAAACGTTAATTCTGGGAACTTCTGCTATCGAGTATATAGAAGAATAATTAGCTAGCAATTGAAAACAATATGAAGATATTTTACTTATCAACAGACCCTAATACACTTGTATTATGAACTTTTAACACCTCTCTACCACAATACTTTAAACATTATACTGTGATACATTTTACAATGAAAGCTGTTGTTGTTGTCTGGTATTTAGTTAATAACTTTTAGCCAAAAGTTCTTTAATTTACAAATCATAGAGAAATGGTGAGACATTTGTATATACTGAAATCCAATACATTTCTGTCTAAAATTTATAATAAATATATTCAACCAAGTTTTACAGTTTATATCAATACTCCTAGTGTTCTATAAATAAGTTTTAGTAATACCTTAAAAAATCTTACCAGAAAAACTATGATCTCTACTACTTCTACTACGTGGTTGTTATAACTTATGGCCTTTTGCCCTATTATTATATAACGTAATATACCGCCAATTACAGAACAGTGATTTATCGACCGGATCAATGACTCATAAACCTGTACGAGCAGTCTAGACTCTTTATCGGTCCTTCTTCCCGTCTAGCCACATCTGTTAAGTTCAGAACACTAATCTCAGTCTCTGTTAGAAGATAACATACCATTTTTATTTTGATATGGGAAGCAGATGAAATTTCTAGCTGATTCTCAGTTGAAATGAAGCGTGAAAAAGTATCAATATCTGTTGTTTTCCTTTATTTCAATAAAAAATGAATTCAACTATTTAATGTTCTATTACAAATTTCATTCAATATTCATAATTATCTAGGTATGCTATTAGGAGAATGGTAAAAAGTCAACCATTTTATTGGGTTGTAATTATACTTGTATTTTTGAATACCGTATGCGGTGCTATTGAACATCATGGTCAACCAGTATGGCTTTCCACATTTTTATGTAAGTTTACAATGTTTTATAAACAGTCGTTTTCAGAAAAAAACTATACTTAGACCTCAAAAGTATGAGTTCGATTGATTGAGTTGTTTATTGTTGTACACTGAAAATAGTAGACTTCATATTGGTCGCTGTTCAGATAGTAATGAGATATGTGACTTAAAAATGTCGAAAGATCATAGAAGAAAAAGACAAATAAAAGTCATTTAGTGCTTATCTCTACCATTTGATCTCTTCAATAAGATAGTCGTAGTGTGGAGACACTTACTTTTGAGAACATACCAACTTACAGTGATTTTTTTTACCAGTTTATATATAACTTTTAAACTTTATGTATCATAAGTGATGAAACCAAAACTGTCGTGAAATCCAATACCCCCAAAATAAGAAGCTATTAAAACTATTCCATAACATGAAAACAACCGCGGTTTAAATTAATTACTTACACCCACTTCCACATTAATGAATAATCTTTCACAACGTCCCTCTTTGAACTCCTTAAACCTTGAATTTTAGTAATATTAATAATTTTAATCCTCATTTAATTCAGTTGCCGACCAATCAAACCTAGATTTTTTCAGGATTATATATTTTTATAGCAAGAAAAGGAGATAGAATATAGGTCAAGGTTATGCTTTAAAAAAAGAGATCATTTCTATATTCTTCCCTTTATCTCCTCATATATTTTTGCATATTAAAAGTATTGATAATAAAGCATAAGCTAGAACCTGATAAATTCAATAACAATAGAAGTTGGTTATTTATTGTGAACCACTAGTTGATCATCTCAATTGATTGAATTATTTTCAAAGTTATCGTTTATTAGTGTATCAATGCGAAAAAACTCTCTCTGTAAAATATTGAGAATTAATTTACAGGATATTCTTAATATAATACTGTGTTATATGATGTACGGTCTTGGTGATTATTAAATGAACGTTTTAGTTTGTTATGATAACTATCTTCAATTGACTGATAATTAGAATATTATTATCAGAGTGGGTTTTGTGGAGATTTTTAGAAATTTCACTGGTTGAAATCATGAGTCAATTGAAGCACCCCGCGGCTCAGTGGTCTAGTTGGTTAAGCTCCCGGCGCGAGACTGGTAGGTCCTGGGTTCGAATATCGCGAGGGGAGGGATCGTGGATGCGCACTGCTGGGGAGTCCCACACTAGGACGAAATGGCCGTCCAGTGATTCGAGTTTTTCCATGGTGGTCTAGTTTCAACTGACTCATGATTTCAACCAGTGAAATTAGAATACTGGTTGTCTTCTTGGAAAAGAAATAAACTCATTGAACTCTATGGGACTAAGTAATCTGTAGAAATCATCTTCTCAAGTGTGATGTCAATCATTACTCACTGTTTGTATTGTGATCTTTAGATTATTTTTATCTGTGATCATTTATTTCTTAAGTGATATGTAACTCAATCTTAATAAGTATGTTGTGTATTTCCTGTAGTAGTAATAATAAACGATATTTCGTGATAATCATATGCGTTGGTTTTCCGGAAAACCTCCGAAAATTTCTCTATAATCTATGAATAGTGAAGTTAAATCAGATAGAGACAGAAGCTTTATCGCTTGGATTTAAACTTCATATCCCCAAAATAAATGCCAATAAAATCGATACAGAAACTAAATATGAGAATGTATCTGATCAAATGAAAGGATTACACCCAGTTAGTGAAGAGAAGAAGGGCTGGTTTAAGTCCAAACTACAGCACAGACGAAACTTTTACCTAAGGATCACCTGACAATATTACAAAATGATGATGTGATGATATTGCGATCAGATAAATGTTCAGGTGTTGTTCTCATAAACATAACAGATTATGTCACTAAGATGAAGTTCGCATTAAGTGGCCACATGAGATTCAAGTTGGATAAAAGTAACAAGGACTTATCTGATTCAATTGAAAAAAAAATCACGAATGTACTTAAAGATCTCTTGAAGAAAGTGATTGATAATTCCAATTCCAATGACCTACAGCCTCGTGTGTCTCGTTTGCCACACATGTATGGTTTACTAAAGATACATAAATAAAGTGTTCATCTTAGACCTATTCTGTCAATGGTCAACTCGCCCTACCACAAAGTTGCACGATAGCCAGCGGATAAGTAAGAACCAGTTCGTCAACGATTAGCCAGATATACATCAAAAGATTCATTTGAATTGGCTGACAATATGAATCACATAAATATTGCTGATAAGTTTATGATTTCATTTAAAGGGACATCATGGTTTAAAAAAATACCACTTCTTGAAACCATAGATAATTTTTCAGTATTCTAACATTCTAACTCCACCAGCATCAGAACTCAAACGACTATTAATCATACGCTCAAAATATGTTCAGTCCCAGTTCAATAATATCATATAACAACAAGCTGATGATGTGGCAATGGGAAGTCCGTTAGGTCCTGTCCTAGCATATATTTTCATGGCCAATCTCTAAAGAACCAAGCTCAAAGAAGTGATAAGAAATAAAGAAATGCTAACAATATTTTGTCTTGTTTCGAGTTTCTTTGAAAGTGATTGTCAACATCACTAAAAGTATTGAAGTTCACGATCTTCAGGTTTATTCATAGTGGCTTCAGATTATTAAAATCGAATCGAAAAATTCAAATTTTTAATATCAATCGATTATGTGGTAGTGAGAGTTCTAATGACAAACCGTGATTAGTGGAGTAAACTGTTTGGAAAGTGTTACAGTTATCATCTATTAGAATGATTGCGTATCTCGTCATTCTGTCAGTTATACTTGTGTACAGCTGAATTCCACTTCGTTAGTCCAGTGATATCGTGATCATTACAAGACTGAGTGGTTGATTTAGTTTCTTATTCAGTAAATAGTTCCAGTCTAAATCGATACAACTGTTTAAGGCTTCCTGGATTTCAGTGGTTTTCTAGTTGAAATCAGCAAGTGAAAAACCTACATTTGAAACGTTTTTTAATGTATCGCAAACGTTCGACATACTATTATCCTGTTTTCAATGTTTTACTTACAGATTATGCAGAATTTGTTTTTCTTGGTTTATTTATCATTGAAATGTTATTGAAAGTATATGGATTGAATATACGAATCTACTTTGAATCTTCATTCAATATCTTTGACTGTGTCGTAAGTTTATTTGTTAATTTGGAATATTTTACACTAGTTTAGTAATCATATTGTAAATTGTTCAATAGTATAGCATTCTAAAAATCATTTTGCATAACTTTGATGGTTAATTGCTAACAATTTTCATTCCCTTATATGTGAACTGAATTTTCAATTTTCTGAGTATTTGATTGATCTACATTCATCTAATAAATACACAAATTGGGATTGTAATAAAGATGAAGAAAGTACCACAAATCAATACAACATGAATTTTCATCTGTGTACTAAACGTAATGGAATATGTAAATTAACTTTCTGAATGTTTAAACTATTGTTGGTTTACAGCTTCACATTTTCTTCACAGAACATTAATAAAATGACAAGTATTGCTTTCTTTAACTAAAAGTATTGAGATAGTTTTAAATTCACTTAATATTGTTTACTTGTATCTTCCCATTGTTATTTGGGACTGCAATTGATCAGTCTCTTGTCGGCATATATGCATCCTATGTGAACTGCCCCGATATTGCCTTAATTCACAAGCATTATATGCAAAAATGGATGATAGCTAGTAATGGAATCGAAGGCACTCCTTTCGTCCCATTTAGAGCTCGTCAGCTGGATGCACCTGTATCTCAGATTTGATGTGCATTTTGGGACTCGAACCCAGTATCGTTCGTTTCAAACACCATCGCGTTATCCACTTGGTTACTGAGTCCTGTTGGCTACCTGGTTGTGTAATCGGCCGAAGTTTTAAATTCACTTGATATTGTTTTATTTGTATCTTCCCATTGTTATTTAGGACCGCGATTGGTCAATCTCTTACTGGCATATATGGATTAAAGTCTCAGAGTGAACAGTAAATCTGAGATACAGGTACATCCAGCTGATGAGTCCAAATAGAATGAAACTCGCGTCCTGGATTCCACTACTAACCACTATCCATCTTTACTTATAAAATATTGAGATAGTTGTTTTTTAAACAGTCCAAAAAGTTCTCAACTACGACAAAGTACAGAATTTAACCAATGAACTTTAAATTTCTTAGTGAGCGTTTAGCCTTAGGACAAATGAGATAGAATCTAGTACTTTATATATTCGTAACTTGGATCAATTAAACATGCAGGATAGTATCACAGAACTTTTAACACCTCACTAATCAATATCAGTTCCTGTTGAATAACCAACTTTCAACTACCAAAACCCATCTCTGTAATAATTTGAAATTTCTTAAGAATTACAATACATCATCAAAATTTTGAAGACTTGAATATTTTGACATTTCTTAAAAAGGAAAAAAAGAAAGAAATTTGAAAAGAAAGAAAAAAGCCGTTCACATATGTTCCACTTTACTCTAGAACACAATGTTGTCTGTCAGTAACAGATACTATGACAATATTTATTTATCTTGAGGGTAAATGTTTTCAAGGACACTTATTCTTACAAATAAACTTTTCATTAATATAAATTGTATTCATATTAATATAGCTTTATTTGTATTAAATACTTATACAATATAAAAGATAAATATATATATTTGTCATAATTAATGAAAGACCTAAATGGTTGATGAATACTTGTGTCTAAAATAGCTTTCTATTTGTTATATAATACAATACATCAAGTTTATCTAACATACATAGCAACACTTTCTATGGGATAAATTGTCGTGAAGTTTTCAAGGTCACCTTTTTGAAGATGATACTCTAATACGTATAGATATATAGGTCAAATTCAGTTCTTGAATCTCATTTTTTTTAACAATCATTAGAAGTGATCATATTGTAGGTTAATCGATAGGATCTATTCAGGATCATAGATTTTATAAATAAAGATTTTCTTTGAATTTTCAGTTTAGAATCAAGAAAAATATTTAGTTTATGGGGTTCACTATGAAACAATAACAAATCTTTTTCTTTATATTCCCTTATTCACCAGTAGCACTGGAAAATCGTTGTGAAATAACGCTAATCGATATAGTGGTCTAAAGTTTAGATGTTTTCTGTCGGAATCGAATGAACATTTGTGTGGTTGTAGATGTACCTTGCTGAAAATCCCATACTAGGACGAAATACATGTCCATTGTTTCTTGGTTCGCATTTGTTGTTTAGCTAAGGTCATTGTGCAATGGAAACTATGAAAATAACTTTTGGATGTTCGAGATGATTCCATTTATTTCGTATGCTAATTGCTATCGAAACATACATGACGCTAGTCGTCGTATATCATCGAGTTCAATCGCGTTAGTCAACAACGGAATTAAATACGTCACATACATGTGATGAATAGGACAATAAATGCACATAGATAAGCTCATATAAAAACAGTCAAGGTTGATAAGCAAATAATTAGCAAAGTCAAAATGTGACTCAGGTAGGATGAATAGATTGGTCTATCCGAAAGCTAGTATAAAGTATGTGAGCTTAACATAATAACCCACACTACAAATACATGGTAATAAGTATAGCAGTTAAGATTGGGTAATTAATAGTTAAAAATGAAATCGAATACAAAAGAATTCGAGCTCGTCAATACTAATTCTTATTACTAATACTTAAAATAAAACAAAATGATAATGATTGCAGAATAAGGCCTTGTAACCGAGACAAAATCTACATGGTTGCTCAACAAGCGTTTATAATAATATGTAAAATCGCAATGCTCTAATTATTTTGTCATGCTGGATTTCCTGTGAGACTACAATTTATGGACGAACCAATAAGGTATAAGATAATAGGCCTCAGATGTTGGCGCAAAGTTTACTCATCCAATTTGGTTAAATAGCTTTGGCATTATAGCTGATGTCAGTTCGTGATGAAAAGCCGAAATCTATTTCTTAACGTAAATCATCAATTGTAAAACAATTCTAATTCCTTACACGGGTTTAGAACCCTCATTTGGTCATAGATAATTAGGTGGACACTTTCAAGGTCAGTCTAGCTTAGCTCAAAGGTCGTCCATAAATTATAGTCTCATCGAATTCTCCCTTTTTGTACTCATAAGTCAAGTCTAAAGTACTTGATTATATTGGTATCTACGAATTTCAAATAATAAGAGGATTCTTTGTTTGTTAAATGAATAGAACCGTTTCAGTGTATTTACCATGAGTTTATCATTTATTTAATACATCTAGTTATTATACAATGTGAACACCTTACTTCCATTCAGATATACGTTACATGGAATATTTTCTGTAAACTTCAATCTCAATCCTTAATACATATTTCTACAATAGATTCATTTCTAAAGACAAAAATTGTTTACTGTGCGTAAACCTTAGCCTATTTTGACTTGAATATGACATCATTCCGAATGATAATCGTGAATTATTCTTTATACCTCAGTACTTTTGTTTTTGCTAACAAAACATGTATTTTTACTATTACTATTCTATAATTTTTTTTTATAGGTCATTATAGGAAGTTTATTTGAAATAATTTGGGGATTCTTTCATCCTGATGCATCATTTGGTATCAGTGTTTTACGTGCATTGAGACTTTTACGAATTTTCAAAGTAACCAGGTAAACAGAGAGAAAAAAAGACAACTTAAGAAAATGTAATGTCATATAATATTCATGTTTTTATACTCAATAGTTCCCTTTATTATGTTGAAGAGAATGAGAACAAAAATTTGGATAGAATGAAATGAATTTGTTTTAGACAATTAAAATAACCCATAGTGTCATTGAATAAGAAAAAGAGAATTCAGCGAAGAAAATTTTCATTTCGACGAAATCATTTACTTAAGCTGTACATTCATATATCTGGAAAATGAATGTCTATAGGAGGATAGAAAAAATTGCATCACCAAAATGGATTCGAGGTTAAATAACAAATGAGGTTACGTACTAATCAAGGGGTGAGGAAGAAAATCGTTTATGGGTCAGATAATAGTCCAACTGACAAATATGAAGAAAAGCGACAAACACAAAGGTCATAATAATAGACGGAATAATACTCAAGAAAACGTGTATAAGGTAATAATAACTGATTAGAGTTTAAAACGCAAAATAATAATTTTAAAAGATTCGATAATAATCAAATAAAAGTGCAGAAAAAAAACCCAGAAACATACCCATTAAGGGAATTAGGGCCAAGAAATATAAGAGGTTGGACAAATCATTTCTGCACGCAAAGTTCGGGCTTGAGTTCGTGAATTGCCGATGCCTCAGCAGTGCATAGAATATTGATTCGACACCCCTTCGATCCAATTCCTTTGACTCTGTAGATCACCTTAAAAGAAGAATACTTGGGAGCGCTGTGTCCAACATCGATTAAATGTTCCCGTATAGAACTAGTGATTGTCTTACATTCTCCTTTTTCAAGCCAAGGCGGATAGTGTTCTGAGATGTGTTTGGAAAGTGATCGCTTTGTTCGGCCTATATAACGAGCTCCACACGAGCACGTAAATTTATAAATACACATTGATGTGGCTGAAAGCGAAAGTTTATCTTTAACACACCCAGGAATGGTAGGCCAGCTTGACAAAACAATTCAGAGCTTGGCTGTGTACAAAGTTATATTCAATGATTTTGAAATCCGTTTATTTAAGAATTCAGCAGCCGTGTCTCCTTTAAATTCCGTATTCATGAAAAGGGTTTTCTTTTGTACTGTCGATACTTTCTCATGATGAATTCTAGGTGTTAAGTTTAGTTTAGTTTATTAGCCCCTCACCCATCGGATTACATAACCTGCAATCTATAAAAATTATAATTACAAATGGATTGAAAATATTTATAAAAAACAATTTACTCGTAATTTGTTATGATTAATTAATTATCAACACAAGAAACTGAAGATGTGGATGACTTGACGAAACTAAACTGAAATCACATATATGTATATCATATTGGTAAAGAGTACCTTAGAACAGTGATAATTAAAATAAATGGGAATCAAAAGGCTAGAAATAAATGGTTACATACTAAACAATGCTAATAGCAAATAAGAATGAATAATATGAGTAAAGCTTAGTTAGTCAAGCAAATAACATTACTGAACTGAATGATAGTTAAAAAAGAAAAGGAATCGACAATCAATTCATTGAAAGCAATGAAAAAGATCGAATAATTTATGGAAGTATTATTCATACTACTAGAGCAAAAACTGATTAACAGAAGTTTCTTTTTGAATACAAAAATCAAGTTTCTGATACCTAGTACTAATAACTAAAGTAAAATTTAAAAAGTAAGGACATGGATGTTTATTCATTTATTAAACGATATTGATTAGGTTAGAGAATGTTGACCGGTGGCCTATACTCCACTAGGAGTAACTGGCGCAAGTAAGTAAGTAAACTATACTGATATTTTGATCATAATAAATCCCAACTGATATATGTTTCATAGGTATTTTTTAACTCATTTCATAGTTGTGACTTAAGTATTACAGATTTTATAAGCCGTTGACGAGATCCTAACGAAATTAACTGAATTTAACTTTTTTGCTTACTCAAATCTTTGTTATTGTCCACTCTCTGTCGCGCGCACCCTCTCTCTATATAATATTTATGTATTGATTTCTGAATGAATTTTATGTCTAAAGCTCTCTTCTAACATTGATAGAAAGATAATTTTGAATGGACTTATCATCGAAATAATAATTTCATGCAATTTCTTTCCGCAACGATGAATTTTTACAAAAACAAACTGAGAACAATTAATGTAGCAGAATAATTGATGATGTTTTATAATACCTACAATCAACCAATAATTATCAGTATGAAGATTTGTGGAGATTGTAATATTTTCACAGTTAAATTCATGGGTCGATTTAAGTTGGAGCACCATTGAAAAACTGGAAGTATGAGACTAACAACTCAGAAGTGAGTATCCACGATCCCGCACGAGAAACTTCATCTCAAACAATGGATGAAGAATTACGCAAGCTCATGGATTGATTCAAGTTAGACATTCACATCACTGGATGCCGGCTCAGTGGTTTAGAGATTAAGCGTTCACGAGTAAGACTGAATATCCTGGATTGGAATCTCGCATACCGGATCGTTGGTGCGCACTACTGAGGAGTCTTATGTTAGGACGGAACAGCTGTTCAGTAATTCCGGGTTTTCAATGGTACTCCAGCTTAAACTGACTGGTGAATTCAACCATTAATTGCAATGATTATGTTAATCGATTCAATACACGTTGTCATACTGATTCAGATTAATAAAAACCAAACTAATCTCGCACAGTTCAAAAACAATGAGTTCAATTCTTTCATGTATAGAATATTCCGAATGATTTGCCGATATTAATTGTAGATATCTTCTGATGAGCAAATAATAAATAAGCACGAAGGATATACACTTGTTCACTTACTTATACATATATCATTCATTTATGTGAATGAATCAGTTAGGAATACGAGAAATTGGATTAATTTGATGCACATATCATTATCAGTAGGTATCATTACCAAGGTTTGGTAATTTCGAATAAATTGAGTATTGGGTAGATTGTTATAAATAAATAATATATTTGTAATATCCCAATTAGTAGAAAAATTAGATTTTCTGACGTTTCGTGCCTAAGCCACTTCTTCAGAGAGCAAATAACCAAATTTAAATAGTACAGAGGAACAACACGAATATTATGTGATCAATGAAAAAAAAGCAGGTCTGAATAAATCAAGGTCATGTCATTTCGGTTAAGGCGATTCACAAGCGACATGTATGTAAATTTGTGTGTATGTATGTGTGCACTGTTTAGAATGAAAATTGTGTGACCTTTATGGTGAGAAAGGGTAAATTTAAATTTGTAAGATAATAGTGTGAATTATGTCATACATGTACTTCTTAATGAAAGCACTGGGGTAGCCGATCTCGGTCAGTGAGTTGTTGATAAATTCAAGCTCCTGACTTAGAGTATCTACTGTAAAGATCTTTTTAGCTCTGCCAGTGAGAAATCTAACCAAATTTCTCTTGTAGCGGATAGGTGTGAAATATTGTCTTCAACAATACTTATTATAGACAAATAGACGGGATAGCCATGGGCTCATCTCTAGGCCCGACTTTAGCTGATCTCTTCCAAACAAAGTTAGAAAAGGGACCTCTTAATGAGACTATTAAGAAGCTTGATTTATATTGCCGCTACATTGACAACACTTTCATTATCGTAGATCAAAACACCAGTAAGGATAAACTCCTAGGACAATTCAACAGGGTTCACCCGGCGATCAGTTTCACTAGTGAAAGCGAGTATGACAAAAAGCTGAACTTCCTTGACGTCACACTAAGCAGACGAAGTGATGGCACATTAAGCAGAAGAGTGTATAGAAGAATTCCTTCTGCCTGCCAATATACCCAATTCTGCAGTTTCACACTTATCCACTGCAAGAGAAATCTGGTTAAATTTCTAACTAGCAGAACTAAAAATATCTCTACAGTAGATACTCTAAGTCAGGAGCTTGAATTTATCAACAACTCACTGATCGAGATCGGCTACCCCAGTGCTTTCATTAAGAAGTACACGTATGACATAATAAAGAAGTCGGAGATTTCAACTGTTCGTAAGAAACCTTTATACATAATAGTGTGAATTGTAAATAATATAAGACTAGTTGGTTAGTATAGATAGTCCAAGTTAGATGTATGGTAAGGCCTTCTTTTCTATTGAAAGAAACGCTTCAGCTACTCTCCTTTCTTTGTAATTGAGAAAAAAACTTTTTTGTAATATTTTGATATTTTCAAAATTGATTTGGTGATCGTTTAGTTTTTTCAAGTATAGAATATACCGAATGATTAGTATATGCTAATTGTGGATATCTTCTGAATGAGCAAATAATAAATAAACACAAAGGATATACACTGTTATAGTTCTGAATTTATTAACATTTGTTAATTGTTAGTTGTGTAGAAGAATGAATATAAAAGAAAATAAATAAACAAAACAGAAAAGAAAAAAAATCAAAAAAAAATGTAAATCATACTTTCTTAATTATAACAATAAGGTTATAAATTAAATTCATTCAACTGTTCACAAATTAAAACTAAAGACCCTGGTGATGGTGATGATGGTGATAATGATGATAAGAAACAATAATGAATAAATAAGAGGGGGGGGAGAAGGCTGAAAATGAATGATTAATTGGATTAAATATGCTATAAAAATGTGTTTAAATGTATTTAGTTTTTCATTTCATGATGAATATGGGATAAAAACGATTATATTTTATTCCTGAAAGGAAACGATTATATTATGACTATTATAATGGATAAGAAAATGAACATATAGATAGGGGATTATAAATGATTCAAAGTAACACCATCTAATTGAAGCATTAATTATTCTTCACATAAAAAGAATAGGGGATTAGAAATAAACATTTTAAAATATAAATTTAAAATAAGATTGTGAAATCACTTTTATAATTATAATCGATTTTGCAAAACAATTACTCTACTGATCAGGTCACTATGCAAAATCACACTATTCATCATTCTTATAACAGCAAGAAATGCACTTGTAATAAGATATGGATAATGTACAAGTTCTATTATAGTGAAGGAGAACACAGGTGAGGACAATCGAATTATATTTAGCACAAAATTACAGAGTTACTTGGTAAAATAGAAAAACCATACTATAATACTTAATTTACAAAATGTTCGATAATTGTCTTGCATTTCCATACTAATTGTTTTCTATTCCCACTCTTCCTTTCTTGATCATCCCCATCTTCTGTTACCAGACATTACATTCCTGACACGCGTCATATACTACTTATACGCACCACACTAAGACCATGTTATTTTCTAAATTAAAATGAATAAAACAGATTATTTCCAGTTTGTAAAAGCTTAAATACTGCTATATAATATTATACTTCCTTTAGATATATTTCTTATATGTAGAGATTTGGATTTTTTTTTATTATTGTTATACAATGACATAAAATAATATGTTGATAGAAAAATGTTTACCTTAGAAACATTGTTTAGCAAAAATCGATTATTTATAATTGAACTCATAAGTCATTTTAAGCTAAACCATCATCGGAAATATGAAAGCATTGTTCGGCCGTTTCGTTTTAGCATGGGACTCATCACTTGTATACGTTTACAATTACGCACGTGGGACTCGAACCCAAGACCTTCGATCTTAGATCAACTCATGAATTCAACTATTAAAATTACTACAATCTCCATAAATTCTCATTCTGATAAAAATCTAATCGATTATATTAGTAAAAGTGAGTGAACTCTATATAAACAATAACATAAATTAAGGCAGAGTGTATTATAAATCCGCTTTATTTTACTGATGTTTGTCAGTACTTCACAACTCTAGGGAAACCATCTTAATCTGCGAAATAAACAAAAAGGTTATGTGATGTTGCATAACCAACAGTTAAATCTGTGAACACTTTAAGTGACAAGGATTTTTCATTAGGATAGTTTACAAATAGGATAGAAAATTATTTTCAAGGCTGAAAAAGTAGGACTGAGGAGAATCAGTTTCAAACTGAATGATTAATAACATTGTTTAACTATTAAGCGTAAAAATGACTGAAAATGTATAGATGAATGAAATTCAGTGAAAACTGGATACGATCTATGGAACTCATTCTTCAAAGACAAATATATTGACAGACGAATATAGCGAGAACTAGATAGGGAGGTTTATATATTACTAACACAAAACACTTTTTGGAACATGAAAGCTATTTAAAACATTGGCAAATAATATATTTTCTCAGTCATCTCAGACAAAATAGTTTTTTAGTACATTTGCTTTCAATCCGTTTTAAATTTCAAATTTGTATATCTTAAGAGATGAGTAAATGAAATCCACCTAGTGGATAAAGTGTATTATGTAATCACTGACGTAACTAGTAAATAAATATATATCTGATATGGTGGAGATTTGTAGCTCAGGTGGATGATTTTGATGGAGTTTTGTTCTCCGAGCTGGATGGTTTGGTTATGGAGCTTTTATCGTTCTTCTGAACAACATCATCAGCACAATCTTCAGGTAGAAGTGAAGTGTTCGAATTTCTCCACATATAATTCACAGCTCGTCCTGTAGAACTCGATATTTATCAAAAAAATCAATCAACATCGAGTTCCACAAGCTGTGAACCACATGTGGAGAAATTCGAACACTTCATTTCTACCTGAAGTTTCTGCTAATGATGTCATTCAGAAGAACGATGAAAGTTCCACGACCAAAACATCCAGCTCACAGAACAAAACTTCATCAAATATTTATTATTAAAGTAATTGTCAAAACATTAAAATAACGATACTAGTAACAAGTCGATAAATGTCTATTATCTGCCTCAAATAAGTCGTCCAGTTAATGATTACAGTCCCTTTATTCAATAGGTCTGTAGATATATTTCTTTATTGTTAAAAAGTGTTTCATAAAATTTTATTTAAGTTGTAAATATACTCTATTATTCATATTAAAATTGTATTTCTATTTTTTGTGATGTAATTCAATGAAGGTACTGGGCTTCATTACGTAATTTGGTACTTTCATTATTGAATTCAATGCGAAGCATTATTTCGTTATTGTTCCTATTATTTCTCTTCATTCTAATATTTGCATTACTTGGAATGCAATTATTTGGCGGAGAGTAAGTATTTAAAAAAAATAAAATGAAGAATAAATAGTAACCTTCACTTGGTGTTGTTTTACTTGTATCTTCCCATTGTTATTTAGGACTGCCATTTATCAGTCTCATATTGGCATATGTGCATCTTATGCGGATTGCCTCGATATTGTCTTAAGTCACAAGCTTTTTAAGCAAAGATGAATAAAGGCTAGCAGTTGAATCCAGCTCGATTCCACTTAACAGTATTATGACTGGAATTATTTTCGTATAACTATCACATAAACATTTTACTGATTAAATAACGTGTCAATGGACAGGAATTATGGCATGGCTTTAATTTATGGACTAATCAATCAGATTTAAGATAACAGGTTTTAGATTTCGGCGCAAAATTCATTCACCCATTTGACTAAATAGAGTCATAGCATTAAAGCTGATGTCAGTTCCTGATGAAAACCCTCAGTCTAATTCCTAACCCTAACCATCAACTATAGATCATAATCCTTATTCTTCAAACTGTTTTATAACCCTCATTTAGCCCTAATAAGTAGGAAGACACTCTGAAGGTCACTTTGACTTCGCTCAAAAGTCGTCCATAAATTGTAGTCTCACCGGAATTATTTGACATTGTTCTAAGCTAGTTGACATAGGAAATAGAATATGATTCATAATCGTTAATGTTACTCATTTATACTCGTTAGTTTAACAGTCTGACCAAAGGTCTGAGAAAAATTCATTGATAGAATTCCTTTTTCGAAAAGTTGTGACAATCTTCTCTTTCTCATGAAATAAGTTAGATGATAGTGAATTTGTGGTCAGTACGGGAAAGCAGATGTCTACCGTATGGAAGAAATTCTTGGAGTTCTAGTAATTCCAGTGAAAAACTAAATGAAAGTTCATATATTATATTATTATTAGCTTCATTCAATATTATATTATTGACACAAAATAGAGTTTTCAGCGAGTTTCTGTTTCTTATTCCTTGGTCGATCCTGACGATAAATACTGAGTAATCACCGGTTAGAAGTTAGCATTCCAGTCAATCAACATCTAAATAATGTACATTCTTTTCGCTGCATATTGTCAGCAATCACGATATCCCTGATTGAGCTTTTTGCAACTGTTATAATTTATGGTCTGTGTGCCCTGTTAATGTATAACGTAACGATACCACCAATTAGAGAGCGGTGATTATCGAGCGGATCAATGACGCACAAAACCTGTACGAGCAGTCTAATCCCTTATCGGTTCTGCTTCCAGACTAGCTCTGTCTCTTAAGTCTAGAACACCAATCTCAGCCTCTGCGATATGAATCATTTATTTCAAACATACTGGGTTTATATACCAACCAGACAGACCACATCGTACCAATAAAATAGGAAACAATATATATAAAAGAATTAACCAAATGTGGCTGTGAATGTGGGAGGTAGTGATTAATAGGCAGGACATAATTCAAGAATGTTAAATCATATAATAATAGTTCATAGGTCAAAATAAGGCTCATAATAAGAGGGGCATAAATATGTATAGTTTAGTTATTTAACAATTATACGATAAAATATACGTTTAGTATTGATTCATAAATGGGTCCCAAAAGTTACCATTCATTATACTTATCAGGACATAACAGTAACTTGTACAACAAAAGGTTGTACACTTTTCAGAAACTCACCTGAATAGGTTATGCAATTACTAGCCATAGTGATGTATTAAAACAAACAAAATTAAATAACTTGTTGAAATATCTAGATATCAGGAACAGGTAGCATAAATGTTCAAGCAGGCCTCCATATATCAGAGTGATAGTGATATTAAGAAACTATATTAAAAAATGCATTCTGAAACATAAGTGACAGAGTACACCACATAGGATGTTGGCAAATCATCATTCCACTAGAGATAGCTACTTATTAGGTATACTTCGAATATTCAGTTCAGTAAAAACAACGTGATCTAATTAAAGCGACTGAACCACAGTTGATCCACTATTGAACCAAATACTAGTTGATTTTTTCGAAAGACATAACTGAGTAATAATGAAGTAAAAATATGGGTAAGTTAAAATTTTATGGAAGAAACATCAGTGACACCATACATCATAAAATATTCATCCTGTCAATCAGTTTGGAGAATATAATAGGGTATCAGATTACACTTTTGTTTACAAAGAATAACAATCGATTCAAGAATTACATAAATGGGAAATCTACATGGAATAAACAGGTGATAAGTTTTCGCTGATTTATGCCCAAAATTCTAGAAAGTAATAAAGTTCAAAAACTAACAAAAAAAACGTTTTATTACTTTTATGCTTCCGATAGTTACTTCTCATCCTTCTCTTTTTGCTTTTAGCTAAAATCAATAAAATCATTGTTTCTACCTTGAATTTATCATTCTGCTGTTTTTTTAAATCCTTTGTTGTCATGTATACAAGTTGAATAATTGATTGTCATTTACATATATATTCTAATCAATTTGATCGTTTCTTTTGTAAAGGAAATTTATTTACATTCTTTTTCAGTTTCAATTTTGATGAAGGAAGACCAACACAAAATTTCGATACTTTTGTTAAAGCCTTGCTAACTGTATTTCAAGTGAGTTAGATTTTCAAGTGAATAAATTTTTTTGGATGAATATTGTTAAGTAAATTGTACTTACTTACTTACTTACACCTGTTACTACTCGTCGAGGAGCATAGATCACTCACCAGCATTCTCCATCCAACCTTGTCGTGTGCTATCTTTTCCAGTTGCTATTCATCCTTTTCATACCTGTTTCCAATTCTCAGTTCAATGTGTTCTTTGGCCTTCCTCTTTTCTGTTTCCCTTCAGGGTTCCAAGTTAGCGCTTGCCTTGTACAACGTCATTAATGCTTTAAAATAATTAATATTTGTTTTTATATCCAGAAAAAGTAACTAATTTACAAAAGCAAACCGGTTCACACAAAAGGTTACTTACTTACTTACTTACGCCTGTTACTCCTCGTGAAGGAGCATAGACCGTTCACCAGCATTCTCCATCCAACCCTATCCTGAGTTATCCTTTCCAGCTCCTTCCAGTTGTTATTCATCTTTTTCAGATCGGCTTCTATTTCCCGACCTAATGTGTTCTTTGGCCTTCCTCTTTTCTGTTTCCTTCAGGATTCCAAGTTAGGGCTTGCCTCGTGATGCAGTTTGATAATTTGCCTAATGTATGTCCTATCCATTTCCATCTTCTTTTCCCGATTTCTTCTTCAGCTGGAAGCTGGTTTGTTCTCTCCCACAGAAGGCTGTTGTTGATGGTATCCGGCCAATGGATGTTGAGTATCTTGCATAGACAGCTATTTATAAATACTTGTACCTTCTTGATGGTGGTTGTTGTAGTTCTCCAATTTTCAGCTCCGTACAGTAGAAATGACTGCCTTGAGGTTCGTATTGAAGATTCTCACTTTGATATTGGTTGAAAGTTGGAATGATTTAAATTTCAATTACTTATATTATTCAAGTATAATTTTCACATGTAAAAATAGAATTTGTTCATTACTTAGGATACATTCATTACATGATAGGTTGAAGATTATAGTGATTAGCTTTTAATTGACTTTATTATTATCAGTTTAGGGATTGTGGAGATTGTTGAGTTTTAATTGAAATCATAAATCGATGAGTGTTAGACCACTATTGAATGCCCGGAAATACCGGACGTCCGTTTCGTCCTAGGATGGGACTCCTTAGCAGTGCGCATCCACGATCCCGCACGTAATTTTCGAATCCAGGATCTTCGGTCTCACGCTCCAACGCTTAATATTCTTATTTCTTTCAACTATTGGATATTCAACAATTTAGTTATAATTTTGTCCGATTAAACTTCACTAAACGGAATATATCGTAACCAGCAGTTGAAGACTTTGAGTGACATGTCTCAAAATCGATCACAATGGCGTCGGTGTATACACTGTTTGTCTTCCCTTTAAACATGAGAATAAGATTACTTTATATCTTTCTTTCAACGAACTAATTCTTCTTTTCTGTACTATATCCTTATATACAATCTTTCTTTTTTATATTACTACCATTGAAATAACTACTTCTACGAATTTGATGTTCATCTTGTTGTTCTAATGAGTTGTGGCAACTTGGACCGGTGCATATATGTGCGTGATCCTGCGTTATAGCAGATTGATGAACTGAGACCGAATATATACCCATTGAGACATAAAATAAGAAAGATTGGTTTAGCGAAGAGTTCTCTTTACAGTGATTTCATTTTCAAGGCAGTACAATCGTAAATATATACTTATTTTCCAGGATGATATTAATTACAATAGGTACAATAATAGTGATAATGAAATTCTGTTAAACATGATAACAGTGAGGTAGGGTAAATAAAGGTACGAAAGCGTTATTTTTTATCAGAAAAAACTAATATCAAATTTACATGGTGTTGTCTACTTGTACCTTCCCACTGTTATTTAGGACTGCCATTTATCAGTCTCTTATTGGAATATGTGCATCCTGTGCGGATTGCCTCGTTATTGTCTTAAGTCACAAGCTTTTTAAGCAAATATGAATAGTGGCTAGCGGTGGAATCCAGCATGCTCGGTTCGTCCTATTTGTGACTCAGCTGGATGTACCTTCATCCCACAGTTGATGTTCACTTTGGGACTCTAACCTTTTACTTCAAACCCCATCGCGCTATTGATTTAGCTACTCAGTTCTGATAGCCATCTGGTTGTGCAATTAGGTGAAGTTTAAATTCACCTGATGTTGTTTTACTTGTATCTTCCCGCTGTTATTCAGGACTGCAATTGATCATTATTTTGTAGTGATTTCAACATTTTTACAAGTCAATGGTATCATTTTATAAACAGTTTCACATTGAGAACATCAATTGATGTATGTATTTGTTCAAGTTGAAACCAATTTTCTGTTTTGATGTACAGGATTTATTCATGACGGTTAATTTCTTCAACTTAAACTATGTTATGTTTCTTTTTTCAAAGTCTAAATAAACGTAAAATACTTAATGGATTGATGATTACAAAGATAGTTACCTTGGTGATTGAGGAGTATGTCGGCATTCTTGTGACTTTCGGATTGCTTGATATGCCGAATATGACAGTACAGTGAACGAAGCTATTATTATTGTATATGAGATTCAAACACTTGTATTATGTACATACACTCTACTCAGTTATTCACTCTATTTCAACATTTTACACTTACTAGACCATTTGATTTTGTCTTGTTTTCTGTGTAGTTATACACCTTACTTCTAATATTGAATTGCTTTTATGCTAACTTAGCAATTCACATCACAAATTACAACGATAACTATTAGTTCCATACATTGAAGGATGAATGTAAAACATTGAAACACTCATTATCACCAACGACACTAAACAATCTATCATTAATTTTCAATAATATATTTGTAGATTGATACAATTAAATTATAAATATCATTTAATAAAACGTATTTATTATTATGATTATCATTGTTGTTACTATTATTATTATATAATATAGATATTAACTGGTGAAGATTGGAATACAGTTATGTATAATGGGATAAGAGCACAAGGTGGTGTTACCAGTGGTGGTGCAATTTACAGTGTATATTTTGTTTTAGTTATGGTATTTGGAAATTGTATCCTTTTTACTTTGGTTAAAAAAAAACAAGATAAAAAAAGAAGCATTTTTTTTTATTAAAAGTGTAATTTACTCAAATTGTTCAAGTTGTCAATCTCAATGAAATTCGATTCATCACTTATTTCAGTAGTAAATTTATTTGTTCTAAAATATATTTTAATAGTTGAGATCATGAGTCAATTGAAGCTAAACCACCATGGAAAACTTGGAAGCACTGAACGCCCGTTTCGTACTATTGTGGGACTCCTGTGTAGTGCGCACTTACGAACCCAGGACCTATCAGTCTCGTGCGCGAGGGCTTAACCATTAAACCACTGAGCTGGCACCCAACGGTGTTAATGTCTAACTTCAACCAATCCACTAAATTGAGCGACACATTCATCATTGTCTTCAGAGAGGTACTGTCTCATAACAGAGCCGGTTGAACTCCACTGGTCACTGCATCTCACTAGAACTCCGGAAAATACCTCTTGAAACCAGTCACTAGTGATACTATCTCGATGCATATTAGAAGGACTTTTGTGGATAATATAGTAATTTCAATGGTTGAGATCATATTTGTTAATTATAACTATATAGAAACAGTTTATTCAGGATGAATATATAATCCATAAAGACTGATCGAAATTCATTTCTCAATATCAACTAAGAGAATAATTCAAACATACATTTACCATAATGTAAATATTGTATTCGTTGAACAAGTTAGTATTTATCTGGACTTAATTGATTATTGGATAATAAGCTGATGTCTAAAGCTGAAAGTTATTGGGTCCAAGCATCAGTATAAGTGTCAATACTGGTATGATATTGCATTTGGCTGATGAGTCCTAAACAGAAGGAAACACTCATTCTGGATTCCAATTTTAGTTACAAATCATTTAGTCTTGCAGAATATAGATAATAGGGAAACATTTCTGACAACTTATCAGATTCTTGACCAGTTATCCAAACCTTTCTTGTTGCAAATGTAAAGACAGCAGAAATTAAGGAGAACTGTGAACAACATAGTTCAGAACTAGTCACTACAAAACGGGTGTATGAGTTTTTTTTAGTATTTAGTGAAGAATGTTTACTTGTATCTTCTATATTGCTAATGTATATTTTTACTGTCAAAAACATATTAAGATAATACCGCACTACATTATTTCAGTATTTTCTCTCTCTTGAAGCTTGTGACTCTTGTGCTAATTTCCATCAAAATATTATCAATCAGAAATTAACCATGACACGTTTTATGTTACCATTCTTCAGTTATTCTCATCGTCTATATCATATATACAGTCTAGTATAAATAAGAATAATATATCAATATACGAATGTAACTCCAAGAAACTTTCAAAAGATTATTGAAAAAACTGATAATCATGAATATCTTTGGATGCAAGAAATGGTATTCTTAGAGGAGTCAAATTATCGGGTAGTTTAAGTATTACTAACTAAAGCGTGGATGGTTCAATTGCTTTTTAATTTGTCATAAAGTATTTCTTCTTTTTATCACTTGAGTTTCCGAATAATCAGTACAATCAAAAACATACATAGTATGGCAATTACCGACTTGATTAGCATGAACTGAGCTTTTGATTTTATTAAGTTTACAAACCAGATGGATTAACTGAGATGCTTTCATGGTCATTCTGGATAATACCATTGGTTTTTCCTGATCTAGATACATGTTTCTTAGCTATTCAACGTGCATTAAATCAATTTTTCCTGATGACTTTGTTTTTGATTAGCTGGCCTCTGTGATTTTAATGGAGTCTTGTTCTCTTAGCTGGATGGTTTATTCGTGGAGCTTTCATCGTTCTTCTGAACAATGTCATCGTACAAACTTCAGATAGAAGACTAAACCATCTAGCTCAGAAAACAAAACTACATGAAAATCATCCAATATGGCTTCTGGAAGTTTTCATTTTTATTTGTTATTGTATCTAAGTTTACTGTCTTATGTAGATGATTTTTGATCAAGTAAGTGAATGATATTTTACTTACGGCTTGATATATTTGATCTATTTCAATGTATCTAATGATTGGTAATTAATCTAAATGTCATATTTATAGAAATTGCCTAGAGAAAATTTATTTCTTAACTCATTAATCAATTATTCATACACATTCCTTAACATTTTGAACTATCAAAAGATACACTATTAAATGTATTTCTCGCTATTGCTGTGGATAATTTGGCAAATGCTCAAGAATTGACCGAAGCTGAAGAAGAACAGGCCAAATTACAAGAAGAAGTAAGGAAAATATCTTATAAATGGATTTAAACTAGTTTTATTTGTGAAAAGTAAAGAAAAAGTATTACCTTTTTTTTAGAAGGACACTGATTATAGTTCTGTGATCGTGGTTTATTGATTCTTAATTATTGATTGATTAGTTGACAAGATATTTATAGCAGATCTCCTATAATCAATTTTGATTATGATTAATTTTATTAAGCTCTTTAATTAACTTACTTAACAGACAATGTTATTTGGACAGTAACAATTTGCATACTTTATTTGTACTATTAAGATCACTACCTTGTCTGTGTAAACGTGTGCGCTTGATCATAGAACAGCCTATGCACATGTCTCTTTCAAGCTTAAATGTCGATAGCTTAGATATCGCTCGATAAATCATTTTCTTCACAAATTGTTGAATTATATCTGGATACGTAAATATAGGTGTTATATCCCGATGAGAAGAATGAATGGTAACTGTTGGAAACTATTTCTAGACTAATGCTATACGCATATTTTTTTATCGTATAATTATTAAGTAACTAAACTATTCATATTCGTGTCCTTCTTATCATCAGCTTTATTTTGACCTATGAACTATTATTATATGATTTGACACTATTGAGTTATGCCCTGTCTATCAATTACTATCTCTCACACTCACAGCCACATTTGGCTAAATCTTGTATAAATATTGTTTCCTATGTTATGATACAATGTGGTCTGTTCGGTTTTTATATAAACCCAGTATGTTTGAAATACACGATTCATATAACAGAGGCTGAGATTGGTGTTTTGGACTTAACTGGCTGGGCTAGTCTGGAAGCAGGACCGATAAGGACTTTAGACTGCTCGTACAGGTTTATACGTCATTTGTCCGGTCGTTAATTCCCTGTTTTCTAATTGGCGGTATCATCACGTCATACATTAACAGGGCACACAGGCCATAATTTATAACAGTAAGTAAAGTTGAAAAATGCAAATCTTCTCGCTTCAATAGATCAGGATACATTGTTACAATTTTTTTCATATAAATACTTTGAGTTAATGATCCTGGGAATAGTAAACTAATAAAAATCTATAGAGAGTATATAGTATTTACAAATGACTGGAGTATATAGGGATGGGAAAACGAGAACAGCTTGCATGGAAAAAAGTAGATATTCTGACATAAATAAAGAATGATCTATTCATATCACAGTCATTATATAATGTGCTTTACAGAAAATAATATGGTCGAGTATAATAACCTACTATGAATTTGGATTATATTCAGAGTTAGTTGAAAAAAGCATTGAATATTTGTCATTTTACTGGGTTAAAAATCATTCTTAAACTATACGCTAAACTTATTATCATTAATTGAGTTGCCGTTGACAGGAGAGTGTGGCTCTTTTATTTTAGCATAGACATGATCTGAATGATATTTAATTAATGACGTCAAATCTTTTTTGGCTATTGACTTAACAACATAGAGAAAAATATAATGAAATAAATTGAGCTAAAAAAAATACTTTCAAATACATGATAATTATATACATTTAAATCTTGATGAAGTTTTGTTCTGTGAGCTGGATGGTTTGGTCGTGGAGCTTTTTCATTGTTCTTTTGAACGAAATCATTAGCATAAAGTTAGGACATGTCCTCACTTATATCAATAGACGTGGAGAACTGTGGATACACATTTGAACAGAAAAAATATGAAAATTTTGGATAGACATAATTTTAAAAATACAAGAGAATTTTGAAAGCTTGGGACTCAGTTCAATCAGCAATCAACAAGCACATTGAAATCGATCCAATTTATCAACCAATAAGGAAAATTATGGATGAACAGGAACAACAATCAAACCAAAGAAGCAAACAATGACAGGTTTAGGGCTAACAAGAACTAAATGACATCGAGGTCTACAGGACAAGCTGTGAACCATATATGGAAAAATTCGAACACTTCACTTCTACCTGATCTTGGTGCTGATGATGTTGTTCAGAAGAACGATGAAAGCTCCACGACTAAACCATCCAGCTCACAGAACAAAACTTCATCAAAATAATCCACCTGAGGCATAAATTTTTTTTTCACATTTAAATTTAAAGTATTCCTAGATCACTTATTCGAATCCATACATCTCGTATGTTTATCAAGACTTTGCTATGTTTGTTTGGAAAATACTACTGGAATGATGGGATATTTTCTGAAAATCAGCAAACACTAAACAACTAAAAGAATTATGTCTGAATCTTACAAGTAGACTAATTATCATTACCAAATGTAGAATTGGTAATTTTAAATAAATTTGAGCATTCAGTGAAATGTTAATATAATAATAATATAATGATGATGATCTTCCAATGAATAGAAACCAGAATAGAACAATTTAATTAAAATTGCTTCTTTATAGTAAAATTATTACGTAACTAAATCAAATTATTACTAGATTAAATAGTATATATGAAAAGGCAAACTAAGTAGTGCAAGGAAAATTAAAATAGGTCTGATTAGGAATAGAATAACTCTCAAATATGAATAAGATTATCAGAATAAGAGTTTGTAGAGATTGTAATAATTTTAATCATTAGATTCACGAGTCGATCTAAGCTGGAGCACCTTTGGAAACCTGGAAGCACTGAACGGTCGTTTCATTCCGGTATGGGAATCCTCAGCAATGCGAATCCACAACCCGGCATTCAGGACTCGGACCCAGAACTTTCGTCTCAAGCCTGAACGCTTAACCTGAAGACCACTGAATTGACATCTTCCAGTGTTAATGTCTAGCTCCATGATCTTGTGCAACCCTTCATCAATTGTCTGAGATGGATAAATGTCTCACACTCGCGGATACGGATTGAACTCCAATGGTCACGTCTACTCACTAGAGCTCCAGGGAATCCATCTTGAATCTAGTCACTAGTGAACACATGATAAGATTTTAAGCTAATATTATTGGTTATAAAATATTGTCAAATAGTCACATTAAAAACATTATTACATTTATTTCATTATGGGTATTGTTAAACCAATAGTAACTGAAACATCTAAGGAATTTTATTAAAATTATTTATTACAATATTCTGTTAGTGTTTCCAATTATCTACATTGATAGGGATTATTTGATCTGTCATTCTAGTCAATTCACTTACTAACCATTACTGTTTTAAAGGAAAGATTCAATATCGAGTAGAGCTGGTAGATTTTAAACTACTATTCTATCAAGTTGACTGTCTTGAATGTAAGTTGGAAGAAAGCTAAGGGAAGTCAGACGATGTGATATCGGTTCATCCGTTTATGAGCTATCGGTTTGTAGTACGTTTAGTTTATGTTGACGATGTAATGGGATAAAATTAATCTATTTTTAAAGATATTAAGTGCTAAGACTGAAAATTGGTGTTAGTAGCAAAATAAGTATTTATTCTTGATGTGTTTCTGAATATGAATATTTGAATACTTTTTATTTCACTATTTTATCTCATCTTTTCAAATCATATTCTCTATGTTCAATCCTTTAGTGCCATTTAGACTCTTTCACTATTGATCCAATGAATGTCCTTTCTTTTCGTCTTGATGTTTTGTGATAATAATTATGCTATTTCCATATTTCAATTATGACTGATCGATTCACTATTAAACGCAATTATGGTACTCTTATCTATTGGGGATTATGTAGCTCATTACCATCTGAATTCATTCATAAACAAGCATATGCCATTTCTAGAGGTGGAAAGTGGAAACCTGTTAACATTCATTTAATTATTTCAGTGATATTCCTAGAATATATATTTCATGAAATGGATTTCTTTTGCTCCAAATGAATATATCACTTATAGCGTCGTTTACATTTGAAAGAAGTTTATGTGTATTTCTAATATCTGATAAGAGATTCAAGTAAAAATTAATTCTAGTTGAAGTGACTTTTTGAAGAGTGGTTTACTTTGAGGGCTGTATTGATCACATACTGATCTCATTTGAGGCATCACTGAAAATTGGGAAGTATTGGATAGCTTCTGCATCCTACCACGGTACTCCAGAATAGTGTAAACTCATAATCGCACACCGGAACTCCGGTTTAGTGGCGACCATTTAACCATTAAAATCATAACATCAGCGTTCAATGTTACAATTTGAACTTATCGGTGATGAAACTTCTGTTATCAATGGCTTTGAATTGTCATTTCACCAACTTGCAAATAGTTTATATAGTGAAAATTCCCATTTTGACAATTCGTAAATAAAGAAAGAACGAATTGAGCAAAGAAATTTCTTTTCAATTAGTTTTTCATCATGGCTCTACACTATGATTTACAATAATGATATAATACTCATCAAGTGGATATGTTACGTAGCAATTACATAATGACATTTAAATTAACATTGAGTAATTGGAAGAAAGAGGATTATTAATATTCAAAGTAATTATTAAATCAAGAAGTTGCTACGTTACGTAATATATGAAAAAGAGAGAAGGAACAGAATTTTTAATGGATGGTCAATAGAATAGTAGTAACGTAAGAATCAAGAGACGAATGTTGAGAAGTTATAAAGTTCAAAAAACAACAAAAAACCAAATTACAAAAATTAAAAAAAACCAAATGGAAGAAGTATGAAAAATAATTCTGTTGAAGAAAATCTTATACCGATGGCCAAGGCAGCGAAAGTGGTTGTACAAATCTCTTTTGAATGCAAAGGTTAGGTTTGTGAAGATTGATTACAATGGCTTCCGCAATGTGCAAAAGGATATGGTAGATAACCTTAAAAGCTTTATTCAATTCAACTTGATGACTTGTGTCAACCAAGTGAGAGAGAATAGAACTTTTAATCAATTTTACCTGTCCTTTGCTTAACTACGATGGATTATGCTCTATAATACGATGACGAACTTGCCGAATTGTACGCCCTGTATAACTGGCTCCACAGGAGCAGTTGAACCGATAGATACACATGGATTTGGCGAATTCAGGCAGTCTGTCTTTATTAGTATTTCTTATTTTGGGGTGGTTGTAGAAGATAGCATTTAATCTGGCTGCATTAAATGTTTTTTGTACAGCTCTTCTTAGTTTCTGAGTCACGATTTCTTCAGTGGTGTCATTTATGAGTTGTAATTTTATGAACAGTACTTTCTTAAGGACGGTAGATATCTTCGCCCTTGTTTTCATCTCCATCATGTGCTTGTCGATCAATTTCTTAGGGTACCCATTCATACTAAGTAAGTTCCGAATATTGACCAGTTCATCTTCAATGGTATCTTCCGAGCAAATCATTCTGGCACGATGAGTCAAGATCTTTATCAAATTCCTTTTGTATCTGATTGGAACTGCACTGTAGAAATGAGTGTATAGTCCTTTTGCAGACTTTCTGTATATCTCTTTTTTTAAAGTTTCGTCTTCTCTTCTAGTTAGTTGGACATCTAGAAATGATACGCTATTGTTCTGTCCATCTTCTGATGTAAAATTAATTGATGAATGAACGTTATTAAATATATTAAGTAAATTGTCCTTATTATGTTCTTATTCTAATACTATGAAAGTATCGTCTATACAGCGATAATAAGTTGGTAAATGGTTAATTGTGGTTTTAAGTGGTCCATTTTCCAGTTTTGAGAGGAAAATATAGTTGGAATTTTATCACTGGATGGTGATTAAGTAGTTTAATGATTAAGCAATTGCCTCAAGACCTAAAGAATGTAACCTAAAAATCAACTTTATTTTTTAGATGCGTTGAATTCATTTGTAAATTAACAATTCCTTGATAATCTTCATACATATTCATATTCTTACTTTTTTACATTTCAGAGTCATTTAGCTGAAGAATCAGCTGAAATGCGATCAGCTACTGATGCCAAAAATAATTCTAACAATAATAATAACAATAACGGCGATGTCAAAAATACACAAACAGGAAAATTGGTGAATAATTATCACAAATCTAATATTCATGATACAGAGAATAGTTCAAAGTAAGATCTTTATTCAAAAATGCGTACTTATTGTTATATAACAATGCAGGACTTGTAGTATTATGTTTCTGTACAATGACAATGAAACTTCTCAAAATGAATATACCATTATTATTAGCCTAGGTTCGAATTATACTATTGCTAATATTCAAGACAGAATTTTAACCATATTTGCCAGTTTATGTGTATCTATATCATTATTATTTTGTTAGATGTCTTAGAGCACAGCTACTTTGAGATTAATAGTACAACCCGGAACTCATGTTTTCACCTATTTGGGACTCATTATTTCAATGTACCTGTACTCTAGTATTGATGCTTAAATCGGCAAATAATTCGAGTATCGTGCGCCAAAAACATCGACGTACTATCCATTGAGCAAATGATTTCAGAGAGATATAAATTTGTTCAACGAATATGCATTATGAATTATCAAAACTGGATCCAGGTATATCCAGTTGACAAGTCCGAAATAAGATCAAATGTACTTCATAAATTCTAATGCTAGATAAAATTCATCTGTTCTATCGAATTTCAAACTTTTACGGTTCAATATGATCTAAAACTATTATCAACCAGGGAAACGTTAAAAGGAGAGGAGTATTGGGAGAATAAAAACTATCTCATTCTTATTTAAAATGAATCACCAGTCACTTAGAGATTGAGTCTGGAATATCCAAATCTTGTAGTTGACTAAATACTTGTATACAATCGATTTCAAATCCAGCTAATTTCAGTCTTTTCATGAAAACTGTTTTTAAATTAAGTAATCGTTACAACATCACCCCTCCCCCAAATGATACGTTTGAAGCAAACAATCGGACATCGAATACTACGAGACCGGTGAAATGTAGAATTTATCATGGGAAAAGTTTAATCAAATAGACTGAAGTGTTTAAACATTATTAAAATCACTCTATCTTACAGGACAACCCACAGAATAATAATATTTGTTGAATCAGGAATGAAAGAAAAAACATTACAGTTTGGACTAATAGAAAGTTTTATGATAGCTGGAGTATGAAGTGTATTAAGTGTATTAAGTGACAAAATCAACTGCAGGACACATAAATAAATATAGATAACAAAAGATCCTTATATAGTTGAATTTGAAATTTCTAAGAATAGCACCATATCAAACATATAGTATTGAAAATTCAAATATCTTGCTGAAACGTTTCTAAAAAAAATATGAACGGTCATATCATTGTGAGGCTCATCATTTTGATGTCGATTAGATCGGACGATGTTATCGACGGACTCACCACTTTAATGGCCCGAGATCTGATTCCAATTTGATCGTATGATTGATTGTTGAAATATACATCCTGACTATTTTCGTATAAGACTATCGACTTAACTCGCGTTAGTGAATAACAGAATTGAATAAGTCAAATACGAGAATAGATGTTCGAATACATATATTTAGTACATTCGTTAATCGGAACAGACAATCAGAGAATTGCAGCGAATGAAGCGAAGAAAAGAGAGCGAAACGAAACGAAAGAACGCGTAGTGGAGAAGGCATGTGAGCCAACTTTATTTAATCAAGCGTGAAGCGATATTTATAGTCAAACAAAAATAAGTTACAGACATGTAATGAATAGGATAAGAGGTGCACATAGATAAGCTTATATAAAAACAGTCAAGGTTGATAAGCGAATATTAACATGGTCAAAACGCGACTCAAGAATAATGGATAAAATGGCCTGTCCAGAAGCTAGAATAAAGTATGTGGGCTTAATATAGTAACCGATACTGCAACATAAATATAATTTAATTCAAATATAACTTGTAACTGAATGCTCCTACAAGTTTTTTTGCTTTTCATTAAAACTTGAGTAGATCCTTAGAATAATAAAGTTGCTATTAATTTCAATAAACTAGCAATAATGCACACATGTCAGATCATTATGAACAAATGACAAAATAGTCATTGATATCTATTATGTTAATATATTTGTGTTTAGAAAGGAACTTAAGTAGAAAAGAAAAGGAAAAAATCAATTAAATCCAAGTCACAAAAGCGATACATAACAGGATCTGATAATGAAAAGAGTCATTTAAAATGGGAAAAAAATGAATACAAATAAAGAAGCAAAAGGAGAGATTATTTTGTATAAGTGACATATAAATTTATTCTAAATGGAATACGTCAAGTAATGATAGACAAAATAAACAAAATCTTTTGAAACATGATATTATGACTGTCTTTAAGATTGATTCCTAGATTTTAAATGAAAGTATTAGTAAAATGTTAGCGTTTAAATAGAATGATATTGAGTACAAATCCTAATGTAACATCACTACTGGAATGCAGGTGTATTTATCTGACGAGTGTAAAGTAGGATGAAACCCACGTTTTGAATTTTCTGGCTAACCGAAATTCATCTATTCTAAAGAAATATCAACTGGTAAGGTTTAGTTACACTTGATGTGAATCAACTGATGAATACTCTTGTACATTACATCATACATTGACTGAAGTTATAGAATATGAATTTTGTCTGAATGCTAACTTTGCAAGCTCTAAAGATTCTGAATTTAATTATGGTGTTAGAAGAATGTTCGTGTGTTACACTGTTAAAGAGTCCCACATCAGGATCAGATTCTAATAGTTCTCTAGATCTCTAGTTCGTAATAAAAATATATCCTCAACTTTGGAATTTATTTAGTGGTTGCGTGTGTTAAAACGAAGGTACACACACAATGTATTCACTATATTTGATTGATTTTTATCATAGACAGTGTTTAGTTAGGAAATTATTGAGAAGCAAGGAGCACTGATCAACTATTTTATCGTATACTGATTTCTCAAGTAGTGTTCATTTACCACTGAGTCTACATTCGTTAGTTCACATTTTTAACTTCAATCAATTATTAATTTTGTGAATCATCTTCTAATGTGATTGAAGGACTGTTGCCTCGCACCTGACATAATTTGAAAAGTTAGCTTTAACCTGCTAAGTGAAAATAAGGAATCTAGTCCATTTCATTCTCACAATGATTATAAGTAAATTATTTCATGTTTAGGTGAATTCTATTGTTTTAGTACGACAAGGTTTTCACGAACTGAACTGTTTGTAGTTTCGTTTGATATCTGGTCATTCAAAGTGCAATTAAGGAGTTGATTTGATAGATTAGTTAATGGATATTGAAAAATCAAAGAGTAATATTTCACTTCTGTCATATAGTTGGAACAATTCTTGTTTGCAGAATTTAGATTTTATTTTAACTGTAGGCATTAATTTTCTCAAAAGTTTCTGAAGGTGTTTTGTTAGTCTAGTGATAATATGATTTATCATTCAGAGATTTAATACAATTAGTCCCTTTGATACATTTCGATAATGCAATGAGAAGACGTAGTTTATCAGAATTATGTGATATATTTGCGCAATACATTTCGAACAATCTGATCACACATATACTTGTTAAGAACATTTATATATGAAAATTAAAAGTCAACTAGACAGGTTAAGGGTAAGTCATAACAACAAAGGAAAAATATTAAAGTACACAAAAACAAATGTGATTACCACTCTGGATAGTAAATCAGTACTACCAGGGTAGGTTAAGTGTAAGTACAAATATATCACATAATTCTGATAAACTACGTCTTCTCATTGCATTATCGAAAGTGATTTAATAGTTGAATTCATGAGTCAATTGGCGATAAACCACCATGGAAAACCGGAAATCACTATCAACAATTTTTAACTTATTATCAGATTAGCTGTCCTCATTTCGTCGGGAATTAGTAATCCACTGGATTCTGTCTTTGATTATTAGGGTAACATTTTGAGGTCTGTTTATTGTCCTGGAAGCGTTAGTTTTTTCATAAACCAACTGTTGGACTTGTGTTAAGTAAAAAAATTGTGCTACAGTAATGATCCCTAGTTTGAAATATTAATGAACAATAATGACTGAACAATATTGAAGATGACTGGCAGATTGCTTAAGTAAAGCTTTCTATTGAACAAAATGGAAATATCTGTGAAATACTCTTTACGGAAGACTTCAATCTTAAGATTTACAAACAATCATCTAGCAGTGATTTGAAGAACATGTAGACATGTAAAAGGAATCTACCTTATAGACTATCTGATAGGCAACATATGTCCTGACAGATCACATGTCTCAAGGCCACATGATAGAGAAAAATGGAAGAGTAGATTTGATTAAATTTGAACAATGAATAAAGCGCACAATGTGGTTTTAAATTAAATCATTATCAGGCTTTAGTCCATCACATAATAACAGTCATATGTTTAGTTGGTTAGGCACCTGGCGCGAGATTGGTAGGTTCTGGGTTCGAACATCGCGGAGGGCGGGATCGTGGATGCGCACTGCTGAGGAGTCCCATACTAGGATGAAACGGACGTCCAGTGCTTCCAGATTTTTCATGGTGGTCTAGCTTCAACTGACTCATGATTTCAACCAGTGAAACTCAAGATCATTTATGGGTCAGTGATTACAATGTAATGAATTATTCATCTAGTCACTGTTAGGGCCTGTATTTCTTTGTTCGGGTCGGTCAAGACTTTCAAAGGTATGCCAGTGAGTTATGCATTCTTTGATTTAGTTTTTATAATAAAGCTTCCTATGCATTTTATGCTGTAGCATAATTGCTTGGATCAATCTATATATTGTAACCGAACCGGATGAAAGATTATAAGATTAGTCTAAAGCACGATCACTTGCTTTATGTGGATCTATCTAGATAGTTCACAAGTGAATAATATTTATTATATATCTCCAGATATTTTGTTATGATTTTGTATACATTCAACATCTGAATAGAAAATGAGAAAAAATAGCTCTCAACAATCAGAAATGTTTACTTTTCTTCAATTTCAACGTTACCATCTGTTAATACATTTATCATGAACGATAAGATAAAGTAATAATGACAGTTCTCTTTCATTGAACAATAAAACATCTCACTCTATATGTGTGGCGGCTTATTGGAAATATAATTTATTTTATTATCAATAATGAGTAATGCTGCTGAAAATTTCATTTAATTCCCTAGGCAATTGTTAATACCATTGGAATATATGTTTATGTTCACGTAGTTATTTTTTATTTGAACGGATTATTCTCCTGTACCACAGATGGTGTAAGCTTGTGTTTATAAAATAAATATTCCAAACAGCATTGGAGATATTTTTGATATACGGGTATTTCAAACTTTGTTTTCACTTGAACTGTTGTTTTCTGAGGGAATCAGTATTCCCCTTGCTGTGGATAATTTAAAATAAACTAAACAATTTCACATGTTTAATGTTATTTTATGAAAGTTTGTGAATGTATGCTTTCAACATGAATACCTTATTAGTAACATCTTAGAATGTAAAACTAGGTCATGCAGGTTCTAATCCTCTAGGAAAGATCAGTCCTCTGAGGATTGCGAATACACCGTGCTAACGATTATCAACTAGTATGAAGCTCAATTTAAGTAGGGACTCCTACTGACTACTTTAGATCACTTGACGTTTCAATGAAATGGTAAACTAAATGAAAACAACCCTCTATTAGTCCTTGATTTTCAAAAGTTTTCCAAACAACGTCTATATATTATTGAAAATCACCTAATAAATCATTCATCTGTTGTCCGCTACTTACGAAAAAGCATGTGAAATCACCTATAATTTGAAGTTTTAAAGATCTTTTCGGCTTTTTACTTTAATCCATAGATTATTTGATTATAATACGTTTTAATATATTTACTCACAGTACAATACAAGGAAATGCAAATGAAATGAATAAAAACAGAACCGGTGTACAAAAGGACAATTTCATGTTTCGTCACAGTAAGTAATTATTCCTCATCAATTATTTGGAAAGTTGTGTAATAATTTTCTTTATGAAGAAAGCAACCTACACACTACTAATTAACTGATATGTTGAATTTGAGTAGTGTAGTCATGAAATTCTTTAATTTTAATATGACAACATTATGTATCGTTTGGTTGAATTCAGCTGAATGATGATGACGATGAGATATTGAACATTAATTCAAACGCGCTATGGATAACAGGATAAGTCAACTATGAAGTGTATTTAAGATTTGTATATTTTTTGCAATCAAATATGAAGAGGTAGACAAATAATAAGATAGGAAGTGAATAGATAACCGATTGGAGTTAGTAGCATACCAACTGAGAAGACAATAGACATGATTTAGTTTTCATAAGCATTACACCAAATAAAAGTAATTAAATGAACATGTACGTATTATCAAGCACGCGTGTATAAAAAACACTCAAAATTACAACTGAATAATCATCCAAGACGAATATACGGAAGTGTACAAAACACGGAACGGATTAAGATAATTCGTCTGTTCAGAAGCTGGAATGAGCTCATGTAGGCGTTATAATCAAATACTGCAGTATTTTGTATGATAAAATGTATTCAGATATTTACGTTGTGTCAGTGCGTTGCATTATTTATCATTATTAAATCTTGAATAGACTAAGTCAAAGAGTAATTAATCCTATGGAAAAGTTGCTCTTCAAAAGAAAATAATAACAGTTTGTACTAACTTATTTATATGTATGAAGAAAAGACGAATTGTATGTCTTGTCATAATATTCGTATAGTCAGTTTCGAGAAGACAATAACTGATTACATTGATGTCTCTAAATAGTTGTTAGACGGGATTTATGAAATATGGACAATGATTTTTATTTGAGTAAGCAAGGTAAATGTGACTGTCATTCCCTTAAAAGTTGAACTGAATGGTATACAATATGAAGGAAAACAAAACATTCTTGATGAAAAATATTCTATCATAATAAATGAATAAAATCTTTAGTACAGATTAAATTCTGTCGATTAAGTTGCAACGTGGCTACTAGTTTAAGTGATACGAAATTGTGTTCACTATACTGAAAGATAAGATGGTGGTTGGAGTTAATTGACAAGAGACCCTAGAACTAGGTTTCGTGCTAGTCGTCAGTCTTCAGCAAGGCGTGCTTGTAATCTTGAGGACGGGTTTACTGTGCAGCAGTTCGTTCAGTCCTACTTTATGGCTGTGAAACATGGCCGGTAAGAGTAAAGGATATTCGTAGGTTACCAGTATTTGATCATAGGTGCCTTCGAAATATTGCTCGTATATCCTGGGACCACCGAGTAAGTAATTCAGTTGTTAGGAAATGGATACTAGGTAAGGATGGCGGGTCAATTGATAAAGTAGTGAAACTTCATCAGTTGAGATTGCTGGCACATGTGTTACGTATGCCCAACTACCAACTGCCCCAACGTGTGATGTTTTATGGTATAGGAGTAGATTGAAAGAAAGCTAGGGGCAGCCAAACCAAAACATGGCACAAATTCATAAAGTTACTGACAAGTGGATTGAGTCATGTTGGCAGGTGTAGACGACCTGGTTGGGATCCGCGAGACGATAGCAACCGATGGTTAGAGACCTTGAATGACATGGCTCAAAATCGTTTGCAATGGCGCAGGTGCATCCACTCTTTGTGTTCTCCCAAGTTCGAATATCCTGTATTCTTCATGTCCCTTTCTTTTAACTCTTTCCAAATTCATTTCACTGTATTATACTCCTTGAATAACATCTTCAAACCGTAATCTTTCCGATTACTGCTTATACTCTTACCACCTCTATCACTACGGGATTTGAATCGATAGCTGCATCTCTGTGGAATGCCAACTCGAACTGATACACGTACGTACGAAGTTCTACGTTGTTACTGACTGACTGATTGACTGTAATCTTGAGGGAATTCTATCAGGACTATAAAGAACTTGATACATATAACACTGACCACTACTCAGTGATCATTCAAGTGTCAATACATCTTAGTCCTACAGGAGGTCAGAAGTGGTCAGACAGTTCAGTGATAACGTCTCTGACAGTTGAGCTAGGTGATACGGGTTCAAATCACCCAGATAGCATCAGTTCCCTCAGGACTACAAGTTAAACCAAATGACGAGTACCATCTAGCACAAAGCCTAGGTTCAAGGTTTCCAGCCAACAACCTTCAACCACTACCTTACAGTCCCATAGCATGACCAAACAGCTATCCATTACTTCCTGGTTCTCAATAGCAGTCGAACTAAGATCATTAGAAAATTTAAACTATATAAATTTAACTGTTTTTCCAAAACCCCGATAGTAATTATCATAATAAGTAAAAGTACAAGTCGATAGTGAGATGACAAGAGTACAGATAGTGGTAAGAATAAAAATAATAATAACAACTGAATTAAATATTTCAACGTTGGAATTGGACTGAAAACTGGAAGCAATCAAGATAACAACAAGAATGGAGTTACAACGAAGTTTGTAAGAAACGTTTCAAAGAAGAGGTGAAAATGATGCATATGATGTATGGTTTTCACGTTTTACTAAGCCACTGTGTGAATATGCATTGAACAATAAATTGGTTTACCCCATTTGAGATTTTGGTTCACTACACTATATCATCTTGTATTAAGTCGGCTATTTATTTACTCCGAAAAAGTGGCTTGAACTAAGTTACGAAATCTCAGAAATATGATTTTTCTACCCATCGTCAGTCAGTCAGCTACAACGTAGGACCAGGCACATATATGCATGGGTCCAAGTTGCCACAACTCATTAGAACAACAAGATGAACACCGAATTCATAGAAGCAGTTACTTCAATGGTAGTAATATAAAAAAGAAAGATTGTATATAAGGATATAGTACAGAAAAGAAGAATTATTTCGTAGAAAGAAAGATGTAAAGTAATTTTAATCTCATGTTTAAAGGGAAGACAAACAGTGTATACACCGACGCCATTGTGATCGAGTCCGTGCCATGTCACCCAGAGTCTTCAAACATTGGTTACGATAGACGTGCGGACCCCAACCAAGTAGTCTGCATCTACCAAAATGGCTTCAAGCACTGATGCCAAGTTTTGGTTTGGCCTCCCCTAATTTTCTTTAAGCCATCCCCAACACTAGTCAGCAATGCACGTCGTGGTAACTGGTGTTCCGTCATACGTAACACGTAGCCTGACCATCTCAGTCGATGAAGATTCACAACCTCATCAACTGATTTATCATCATTGTTGGCTATATTTCTAAGGCATCTATGGTCGAATACTAGTAGCTTACGAGTATCTTCTACTCTTAATGGCCACGTTTCGCAACTGTTAAGTAGAATAGAACGAACTGCCCCGCGTAATATAATAAAAATTATATTTATTATTACTGAGAATCACGATCAAAAAATCAACTTTTGACAAAACCATTCTTCTTTGAATCTCAGAAATTATCAATGTGATTTTCATTTGTTAATCAACTTTTATCTAATATGTTCCCCAATAATGAAACAGGATGAAAGCAAATTGTTTTTTTTCCTTCTTTTAAACAATATTGTTTTTAATTTATAGTGACCAATTTAAATTTTACATCGCTTGAAAGTGATGATACAGCAAGATTACAAGGTTCTATACAAATTCAAGGAAAACCTGTTCTACCGTATAGTTCAATGTTTATTTTTGCACCAACTAATGCGTAAGTATGGTGAAAGAACGTTTAGTTTTGTATTGAAATAAAGATGTACATGAAAGTTGAAATTATTTAAACTTCACATAAATGGTTTCCTTGCATGAATCTGAATAAAGCGGGAACAACAACTGAGACAGAATGATATGGATTCATTATATTTTGTAGGGTGCTTTTTTGTGGACACTAATCTGACTCCAGTTTTGATCATATGGCAATGTTATTGAAAAATATATATCTCGGTCACTCTCGTACATAATCATCTAATCAACTGACGTTAGGGAATAACGGAATAAAATAAGAAGTCAAATACGAGAATGGATTTTGAATTCGTATACTTTGTACACAGACAATCAGAGAAACGAAGTGGAGAAAGTGAATAGGAGAAAACCGTTGGAAAAATGAGAAACGAAGCGACGCTAAGAAGGCTAATGAATCAACTCGAATTGGTCGAGTGTGGTTCGGTATTTTTAGTCAAAAATGTGACTTGAAAAGTCACTTGGTGATGGAATTTAAAAACAAGGAGTGTGTAAGAGAGTAATTAAATGAGGTCCGTAAGCAGATAAGGTAGATTGTGTAATAATTATAGTGTCTGTGAAAGTTTCACATGGGTTTACTGGAACTAGAAGTTCATAAGATGGGTTACGCAATGACTGAACTAAATTCGAATAGTTTATATAAATTAAGAGTCACTTGAATGCAAACCGATGAATTAAAGGTTGATTTTGGTATACATAAAATAGAATTAGTTTAACGAAGACAATATAACAGAGTAGATACTAATAAAACAATCACATAAATCATGTTTGAGACTTTTTTATTGCTACTGCTTCCGAAAACGCGGCATCTCTCCGGTTTGCCAATATTATCTAATAATTTGACTGGCACCGTTAAAGTTAATTATTTATATCGGTTGATCAATAGCCAATGTCATGTTTATTCAGTCTTTAATTCTTATTGGATCACTACGATCATGTTGTGATGTAGCTACTAGTCTAAGTGATTAAGCATTACAGTGGATTTTATTCAAATGTTAAACGATTGAAAGTAATCTATAGCAAGTCATAGACACATGTTTTGTGTCAAATGCCACTCAAAAAGCCTATTTGTAATCGTAAAGAAACTGATTTTCTTTGACAGATTAGAAACTACGCCTCTCATTGTCATAATTTGTGGCATCAAATCACTTATCCAACCATTCCGATCCACTGAAGTTATATTACTCTCTCTAATATATACTTCTATTTTTAAATATTGCCTAGTAAAGATATTCAAGAATTTGATTTCATCCTATTTAGGAATCATGATTTGGATACACTTGCATCTCAGTGCTAATGTTCACAATGAGATTCAAACTCGTTAGCTATCTGTGTAATAAGCTACGCATTATTCACTGGGCTATGGGGTTCAGATAGCCACCAACTTGTTCAATAGCCTGAATATCATTTGTAAGGATTAACATTTCTCTATTATTGATATTTAGAACAATAGCGTCATGAGCTCCGAATTTCACTACGACATACCATCAGATATACACTAAAATACATATCTACATCCATTTACTTAAGAATCGAATGTTGAATTAATTATCAATAACAAAGAATTACCAACCTATGGAAATATTCTTCGACGTATTCAACATAAAACAGGTTTTTTTTACAAAGAATTCACTTAATAATTTATTTTCACTGTAGTTTTCGTCTGATCAGTTTAATTTTTCTATCTTATTTTCACTTTTGCCTTCATTATAGAATACGACGATTTTGTCATTTCGTAGTCAATTTACGCTATTTTGATTTATTTATCATGATTGTAATTTGTGCAAGTAGTATTGCTTTAGCCGCTGAAGATCCAATCTCTGAACAGTCAAAACGTAATACCATATTAGAACACTTTGATTACGCATTTACTGGTGTATTCACAATTGAATTAATTTTAAAAGTAAGTTGAATCAAATATTTGTTTTAATAAAAAGGTTGAAAGGCTAAAACAAAAAATAAATTAAAAAGCTGAAATCACGAGTCATTCTAAACTGAGCCACCATTAAAAACTTAGAGGCACTGGATAGCAAATTCGTCGTAGTGTGGGACTACTCAACAATGTGCATCTACGATCCCACACGCGGTACTCGAAATCAGGACTTTCGGGTTTATACGTGAGTGTTTAACCTATAAACTACGGGCTGGCATTCAACGGTGCTTTTGTTAAACATCAATCCATTTATGATCTTGTGCAACCCATCATCTATTACCTGTCTCATAGCGGACAGGTATTGGATTCTACTGGTAACGATTTCTTAATAGAACTTCAGGAGTTACATTTTGAATCTGGTCACGAGTGAGCAACAAAAATCCTTATACTGATATTAAAAAGCGTTTTATTATATTTATCAGTTAATCTGCCAAATAAAAAATATGTGTAAATGCTTGTGATATGTCATTCAAGCGATCTATAAAGATTCACTCGTTCATCTAAATAAGGAATAGGTCACATGAACGATAAAATGTTGTTGGGTTATAACTGACAATCTAGAAAAAGCAATGACTACTTAACTCACATCATTTTGATGCTTTTTACTAATTAACTTTTCTTTGTGACAGTCAGATATCTTATAGAACATGAAACTAATAATCTACTGAGTTGGAGTATTATTTCAGTCACTTGGAAAATATAGAATCTAGACTTGTTACGAGATTAAGAAAATAATCTAATCAGGATAAGTAAATTAAAATGAAAATGTGTTCAATGACTTAATGTTTACAATTATTCACTAGTCAATGCTAATTCTTAATGAAACCTATAATGAAATTCAAAAAAGAACAGCGTTGTTTTATTTTGAAATTGATTCACTGCACAATCCAAAATCTAGTCAGTTCAAATTTGAACATGTTTGTTTAGTACAACAAACTACATAATCATATAACAATATCAGATGGGGTTTTGTGGAGATTGTAGTAATTTCTACAGTTGAGATCATGAGTCAATTGAAACTAGATCACCATGGAAAACCTGGAAGCACTGGAAGGCCGTTTTGTCCTACCGTGGGACTCCTCAGAAGTGCACATACACGACACCGCCTCGCGGAATTCGAACCAGGACCTACCACTCTCGCGCCAAGCGTTTAACCAACTAGACCACTGAGCCGGCATCCAACAATATGTTTAGTCAACTTAACATCATCTCAGTATTTAAAAGGTCTTACAATCATATAATATTTTTCTATGAAGTTAAACAGTTACCCATACATATATTACAGTAATCTATCTAATTATTAATAATAATTATAAACACTTCGGATTTGTATCGTTTGTTTAATAAGTTTAGAAATTTCCAGCAACAAACGCTCATCAAGGCATTATTATAACTGTACTTATCGAATGTTATCAGAAGTGGGTTTGGTGGAGATTTTAGTAATTTAGTAGTTCATGGATTGGTTGAAGACATCAACACCGTTGGATGCCTACCTGATCAGTGGTCTAGAGGATAAGCGTTCGTGCGCGAGACTGATAGATCCTGTGGGTGGGATCGTAGATGCGAACAGCTGAGTAATCCCATACTAGGACGAGAGGGCTATCCATTGCTTCCAGGTTTTCCTTGGTGGTCAAGCTTTAATTGACTCATGAATTCAACTATTAAATTATCCAATGTTGTTTCCAGATTAAAAAATCATTATCATGTTCGGTCACTAAGAAAACAACGCGGAATATTAGAATATTGTAAGGGTTTACAAAATTAGTAAGTGATTTTTAAAGTTTAAATGGAGAAGATCAAATTGAGTCATTGAAAAAAAAATGTGGTAGTGACAGTTATGAAAATCAAGTCATTTTGTATTTCATTTACCGAACAAATGTCCCACATTTTCGTTAATCTAAACGATTTTAGAATAGTGTATTCGCTTAAAAATACATTACTCTAGGAAACAATGTTATGACTTGGTTCCATATCTTCATTTATTCTCTCCAACCTTTACCACCTAGTCAAAGAGGTGGGATTAGGTGTCCGTCATATAACCCATCCATATCAATAGGCAAATCTTTAATCTCATCGGTAAAATTTTCATTATGTAGTACCCTATACCAACCTTCATCATTAGTAACGTTGGTTAAGCCATACGCGATAAGTGTTTAAAAGAAATCTATGGTTAAATACATACAATTAACACATGTTAAAATTATCTGTCAAATCAGATCACGTATCTATTAACGTAGGCCAAAGTTATGAGAAATGACTTTTCCAAATGATTTAATTCATATCATATTCTGTGATGTTATTGATTTTCAGGTGATTGATCTAGGTGTTGTATTACATCCTGGTTCATATTTTCGTGATACATGGAATATTCTTGATGCTATAGTTGTATTTTTCGCTTTAGTAGCATTTGTAGTAAGGTAAGTATATGTTATACATTTAAATAAATATTTAATAATATACCAAAAATTTAATTCTACCGTCGATTGTACTGTATTGTGTACTACTAATGTCAATAGATGTAAGTAGAATGTATCATCAATCGTAAGTGAAATGTCTGATGGTAGAAGGTTAAGAAGATTAAAGAGAAGAGAACAAGAACAGTAATTAATTACTGTGGAAATAAAGGAACAATGAAGTCTGAGACGATTGATTAACATTTTACACATGAAATATTTACTATATGATTCTAAGATTTTACTAAGACGTTCTGTAATTTTTGAGTTTAAAGACATTTGATTTTTCCTACTGGTATTTACATTGACTACAATATCAATAAATTTCATAACAATTGATTAATATCAATTATCACAGATTGAAATCATGAGTCATTTGAAGCTAAACCACCATGAAAAACCCGGAAGCACTGGATGGCCGTTTTGTCCTAGTATGGAACTCCTCGGCAGTGTGCATCCACGACCCCACACCCCGCGCAATTCGAACCCAGGATCTATCAGTCTCGCGCCAGGCACTTAACCAACTAGACCACTGAGCTGGCATCCGACGGTGTTAATGTCTAACTTCAACCAATCCACGAAGTTGCGCCACCGTACACGATTGTAGTCAGTGAGTTGATATCTCACAACTGACCGGGTTGAATTCCACTGGTAACGGCTTCTCACTAAAACTCCGGGATTATCTCTTGAATTCAGTCACTAATGAGCAGATGATTATTATCAGAAGGGGTTTGTGGAAATTTTAGAAGTGTCACAGATTGAAATCATGTGTCAATTGAAGCTAGACGCAAGACTGGGTTCGAATCTCGCGGGGTGCGGGATCGTGGATGCGCACTACCAAGGAGTTCCATACTAGGACGAAACGGCCGTCCAGTGATTCCAGGTTTTTCATGGTGTTCCTGCTACAATTTATTCATGATTACAACTATTGAAATTACTAAAATCTCCACAAACCCCTTCTGATAATATCACTTTTGTCAATCTAAAATGAAAATTATCAGTTATTACAATGACATAATAACTCTAACCATATACTTCCGTTATACATTTTATGTACAATAAGTTTACTATACACGAGACCATAACTTATAGACGAACCAATCAGATATGAGGAAACAGATCTTAGATATAGTACGAAATTCGTTTATTAATTTGGCTAAATAGCGTTTTAACATTTTAGCTGACTTCAATTCGTAATGAAAACTTTAAATCTGGTACCTAAACCTAACTATCAACTGTAAATCATCATTCTAATTCCACACACTACTTTATAACACTCATTGAATCCTAGTTGGTAGGTGGATATTCTCAAGGTCACAGTAGTGTCGCTCAAAACTCATCCATAAATTATATTTCCACCATAATATATAGTAAATTTATGATAATTATAAACTAAATTATGAGCACATAAATCATTCAGATAGTTTTGTCATTAACCGAAATTCTATGACAAAAATAAGGGTAGAAAAAAGAATATAAGTTAGTTATTTTGTTCTAAAGCAGTGATTATGTACTAATAGACCTGTATTATTGACATATTTTGATAATTATGTTAGTCAGTGATTGAAGAGTTAAAACTCTTTTCTTGATGATTTCTATACTTTAAATTTATCCAGATGAATATAGATTATGATCAATATCATTTTCAAATAGATTTCTTTTTGTTATTCATATCAAATTATTACTCTATTAATGGAGTTAACGGTTATGTATGTAATCTCTATCAACCTTATTGATTAACTAAAGCATTTTTTCCTCTTCATATTTCTCATTCCAAACTATTTATTTAAAGATTTTACAATGAAGCCTATTACTTGTGTTATCTAGTTAAGTTTTATAAGTAATCACCACTTTGATAAGTTTCGTCTAGAGTTTAAGTTATCTAGAAGATATTTATTTATAAGTCATGTTTACAATATTAAAATGGATTTTTTAAAGAGATCAGATACCAAGTAAGTAATTATTGAAACGTAATGAATTGAAGGTAATTAATATGTACTTTATAAATAACTGACGAGACTTTAATTTATGGATGAGCCGGTCAGAGGCATTTTATAGATTTCCAGGTTAGGGCGCTAACTTCAGTGCTTAGTGCTAATGTACGATCGGTTCACAAGGAATTTTGTACAAAACGTGATAATTGAGCGACTATAACAAATAAAACGGCGAGACTATAATTTGTGGACGAATCAACCAGGTATAAGATGATAGATCTCGAATTTTAACGTGAAAGCCTTTCACCCATTTGGCTTAATAGATTTCTGGCATTATAACTGATGTCAGTTCGTGATGGAAACCCCATATAAAATTCTTAACTAAGGCAGATAATGACAATTATCGCGAACTGGATAATAAAAGTACCAGTAACACTGGCTGCAGCCAGTCACTACAATATATACGGATGTTTGGAGAGCGTACAAACTCCTACATAGGCTTGGTTATGTGGATCGTGTCCTTATCCACAAGTAGAATTTTGTGTACTCAACAACCGGCGTGCACATAAACAACACTGAATCTATGTGGTTGAGGCTGAAAGAGTTTTTGAGACTTTATCATGGTTCCAGAGGCCGACTATTCTGTAGCCGCATGGATGATATCCTCTAATGCATATATTACGATTTTAGAATCTCTGAACCTCTTTTTAACCTTGACAAGTTTTTAACCACGTAAAAGAAGTGTATCCACTTTATTTCCTTGATTTTGTATAATATATTTTTACTCCATACTGATTGCTTGCTGATTAGCTAATATTTCTCAAGGTCACTTAAGATTCGTTCAAAGGTCGTCCATAAATTAGAGTCTCGTCGAAGGACCGATAAGTCCTGTTATTGTGAATGCGCACTGCTTAGGAGTCTTACGCTAGGGCGAAACGGTCATCTACTGCTTACAGATTTTCTATGGTGGCTTAGCTCCATTTGGCTCATGATCTCAACTACTAAAATTACTATAATATCCACAAAACCCCTTTGGTACTAATTCCTCATGTCTTTACCAGTGGAAAAGCAAAGACTAATCCAATTCAAACATAAAGGAAGTTAGATAATTATTGCCACTGTTAATGAACAATGATCACTCAATACTCCTGGTTGACTGAAGCTAGAAATGTAAACCATAGAATTTTAACGTCGTTGTCTGAAGTTTAAGCAGTTGCCAAAAGTCCTGAAGGTCCTAGGTTTGTGAATGCATATTGCTTAAGAGTCATGGACTAGAATTAAACAAGATTCCAGTGCTCCATAAATTTCACTGGTTATCTAATCAAAGTCAGTAGATAACATGAAACACTAACTTCAACACTATTTAATATTTACGATAGGTTATTTAGATCATCTCATCCTTACTTTCATATACGTAGTCGCCCCTGATAACTTAAGAAAAATCAAAAACGAAATTTTAGGCAGAATATCATGAAGTTATTTTAATTCGATAACTTCTCGTCACCAACCGTAATATTAAAAATAACAATTTCAAAGTCAACTGAAAATGCCTATACAAATCAATTTAGTTGAAACTCGTTAAGATTAGTCATTACGATAGTATACCCAAGATATAAATAAATTTATGGAACCGAACAGAAATTATATTTATATATCGTATTATTATTCTACTCAAATCTTCATACTTATCCTTTCTCTTTTGTAAAGTATTCCAATAGTGTAATAAGAAGACGAAGATTATCAGAACTATGTGATGATATATTAGGGCAATACATTTCGAACAATCTGATCACACATAATATACTTGTTAAGATCATTTATATATAAAAATAAAAGGTTAACTAGACTAGAAATAGAAGATAAGAGGAGATAAGGCTAATAAGGGAATCCCATTACTCTGGATAATAAGTTAATATTACCAGGTCAGGTTTAAGATGAGAACAAAGTGTTTTTCAATACAGAAACGGAGTTAGAATTTTCGTATGGTCAAAGCTTCAATAAACCTTTGTATAATCTCTTTTACATTTTTGTACAACACTACAATAGTTGAATTCATGAGTCAGTTGAACCTAGATCACCATGATAAACTTGGAAGCACTGGACGACCGTTTCGTTCTAGTATGAGATTCCTAAACAGTAAGCATCCACGATCCCGTCCCCCGCGAAATTTGAACCCAGGACCTATCAGTCTTGCACGCGAACGCTTAACCTATACATCACGAGTCCATTGGGCATCCAACGGTGTTACTGTTTAATTTCAAACAATCCACGAATTTCAGTCACCGTCCACCATTGTCTTTAGGGAGTTACTATTTCACAACAGATACGGTTGAACCCCACTGGTCACTGCTTCTCACTAGAACTCCAGGAGGTGATGATTGTCCATGGTTGACTAACGAATTCAACTATTAAATTACTATAATATCCACAAAATCTATCTCTGATTATAACACTACAATAGCCGAGTTAAGATCAATCCTTTGACTTCTTTCAATTATGTCTTTGGCAATAGAGGATGATGAATGTTTATCCTCTACTCTTATTGGGTCAAATAGAATCAAATGACCCAATAAACACTTTATTCTCATTTTAAATCTACCCTGGTAATATTAGCTTATTATCCAGAGTGATGAGGTTTCAAATTGTTTTCACATTATTATTTGCTTTATTATCCTTGTCTCCCCTTACCCTCCATTTCTAGTCTAGTTAACCTTTTATTTTTATATATAAATCTTCTTAACAAGTATATTATGTGTGATCAGATTGTTCGAAATGTATTGCCCTAATATATCATCACATAGTTTTGATAATCTTCGTCTTCTTATTACACTATTGGAATTTATCAAAAGGACTAATTTATTTATTAAAGTATTCATTTGAAGTTTTGCAAAAGCGTTGAGTGAAATTTACGTTTGCTCAGTTTTCATCATAAACTGACATCATCAATTGAACCACTGAGAAAAAGAAAGTACTGGAGAACTTTTTCCTTCTGTTTTACAGTGCATAGCCACAAATCAGAAACTGATCGAT